AAATTAAAATTTTCCGACAAATTTTTTTTTCTCCTCTCCATTTTCTTGATAGCCGAACGTTAACTGCACGTACAACGCATTTATATGAAAGTTTCTTCCGTATCACGGACGCACGCACTGAATTGTATTTTTTTTATTAATAATGTGACATTTGTTTTATTTTTATTAAATTATTAATACATAGTTTATTTTAAAATTAAGTGAGAGAATAATTAAAAAAAAAGATATATATTATATTATGAGTGAAAAATATATAAAAAATTCAGTATATCCGTATATATGGGAAAAATATATTACTCACTCTACAATATTTAACGATTTAATAATTTTTTTAAAAATAAAACTGTTTTGAGCTGGAATTCTAATAACGCTTGAACGTTTTCTTAATTCGTTTCAGTAGTTTATTGAGTCACGTTTCACTGGTGGCGTTAGAATTAATTACCATTTACAGAACATTTTTTTTTTTAAAGAGAGAGAGATTATACTTGTAGTGATATTTCCAAGTTCAAATTAATTAGACAGAGGAAAATAAACTATTTTCAATCAATATTTATTTAAATTGTGCCTGATTTTATAGGTTACGACTTAGTTATAATATTTCTTTAAAAAAATTGGGTCTTAAGCTTAAAGGAATATAATAAATAACATTGATGTGAAATAAAATATGGGTAATATGTTTCTTCCGGCTCAGAATTTTTTTTTTCACCTTAAATCTTTAAAACATAGGGTAGAATTATATTTAATTTTTTTTTTTACAAATTTTTATAAACTATACTATGTATTATAAATAGTATATTATATGTTAGAATATATTATATCTAATATATAGTATATAATTTATAAATAGAAAAATTTATAAATATAATTTTTCTCGAAAATATATTTTCTTAAAGTAATAAGATGCTGCAAGTCAGGTGTACGTAACGTGGTTATGATGCCATGTGGCATAGCAAGAACCTTCATAGTAAAAGCAAGTGGGCCCAGGTGTACGTTGTGTTCCTCGGCTTTAGTTCCGTGGTTTACGATACCATAAAAAAGGTTGGGGAGGTTGGGGTGTGTGTGCTTCTTGGCACATTCTGATTGGTTCGATCACTTCGCTTTTATAACTTTCTTCTTAATGGCGACACAAGTGCTATCTTTTTTTTTTTTAACAATAAAAATTTATGGTATGACTTTAAGGAATTTTTATTTTATTTTATGACTTTAATTATCTCAGATTTTCTGATATTCCATAATTTAGGTTGGGAAAGGGGTTTGTGTAGGTATAAAAAATTTAAGGGGCGTTTGGTACGCGGGATTTTGAGAGATTCTCGGGAAACTGAATTTTTCTAAATTTTAAATTTTCAAATATTATCATAAACTGAATGCAAAAATCATATTTTTGAAAATCGAGATTCCCGGACAAATAAATATTTCTTTGTACCAAACGCCCTAAGGGTAATATGATTGCACTGTTAAAGCAAACACAACTACTTTCCTGTAGAAACAAAAGTTAAGGAGAGAAAGAAAAATTCAGGTGAGAGAAAACTTTTTCATGGAGTCTCTGCATGAAATTAGTTTTATTTTACTGTGACATAACAATCGAATTATCCAAAATTTAAATAGCTACTTTTTTGACAATCCATCTGTTCGTGAGATTTATATTGTCAGTTGAGCTAACCCCAACGATTAAGGGATGATTTTTCTATTCTAAACTTGTAATAACAACATACATACATGAAGATATAACAACATATAATCTTGTTTATTGAATAACAAGATATAATTATATTAGATTATTAGATAGAAAATTTAAATCCTTATGATAATTATATATGTATATTTTTAGTAAAGCCCTTTTGAGTTCTTAATAAAAAATACGGCCGTCACTTTAGTCTCTTATTAAAATAAATTAGTCCCAGTAAAATTTAAATTAGACCCATTTTATTTATTTTGAGTAGGGGTATAAATGGGCTAGATCGGCCTAGTCTATATTAGGTCATACTTGACATATTACAAATAGTAAAATAGAATAAGCTTAGATTTTTAAAAAATCTATTTGAAAAACAGGCCATATGTTTTTTTTTTTTTTTTTTGTAGTGTCGGGCCTATAAGCCTACAGGTCGGCCTATATCATATTATTTATTTTAAATAAAATAAATAAAATTATTATTTTAATAATTTTAAATAATAAAGTAATATTATTTTAGTTATTTTTTTAATTATTGAATATTTATTAGGCTTAAACAGGCTAACAGGCCTAGGCCAAAGCTTTTATTTTTTAAATATAGGTCAAGCCAGACTTGTAATTCGAGGCCTACACAGACTAATAGGCCAGACCAGATCAAATATTTTTCACGCAGACCTAGCCTATTTAAGTCAAAGCATAGCCTAGCCTATTTACACTCCTATTTTTGAGGGACTAATGTGGATCTTTTTTGAATTTACGAGGGACCACAATTTTAATTAAATGGGTCCCCTTTATATTTTTTAGGAACTTCCGGATTAATTTTTTTTATAAAGAACTAAAATGGGAATGAAAGGAATTTTAGAAAATGGATTCTCTCATGTGTAATTTAACATGATCATCTCATGTGGGAGGATCTTAACCATTAATAATTAAATCAACGGTGATGATTGTGTAACTTCATATCCTTATATTTTTTTCTCTTTTCCCTTATTACCATTAACTCACCCATGTATGGTTATGATTGTCCCACATGTAGTGGCGAAGCCACATGCTACCTCGGGGTGGCATCGATCCGGACTAAATTTTAACAAATTGTACTTATCATGTATAATTATATAATTAATTATAATTTGACCTAGTCTAAAATTGTAATTTGGCCCCAACTATAATTTGAAATTTAGCCCTATAAAAAAATTAAAACATATTTGGTGAGAGATTTGGATAAGTTTTATTAAATTATGTGTTTCATTTCCACTTATATAAAAAAATTAAAATATATTTAATAAAATTATAACTCTTTTTAATGTTGTCTGCTCAGATATTTTGTATTTAATATAATTTAAATATATTATGATATGAACTAACTAAAATTAAAAAAAAAAAATCATATATAATTTTTTAGCCCGAGCTCCAATTGAAGCCCGACTCTGCCACTGCCCACATATTATGATCATATTAATTAGCACATTCCTAGAATCTATTACCGGAATTTTACCCTATATTTTTTAAGTTTAGGTTATTAAATGGTGATCGTTGGAAAGACTTGTGACTTCTAAGTCGCGTTAGGGTGGATTTTCACCAAGAATTTTTAGGTGGGAGTAGCCAATGGATTTTCGCCGAGTCTCACCACAACAAAGAGCCTTGGGTCCCACTCATTCTACCTTTTATTGGATCTCGCACCTAACTTTTTGGGCTCTCAACCGTTGACGTTAAATTAAGATGAAAATCCAGCTTCAGTGCGAAAATATTTTGGTATTGTGGATCAACAGATAATTCGTTATATTTTTTACTAAATATAAAAAAAAATAGCACACTTATTCTATTCTTATATATATATATATGATTTTATTTGTTCTAATGTAAATAAATTATTTATATTAAATCGAAAATAATATTATTTTAAGATGAAAATTAAGGTATTTTTATAAGAGGTAGGTTATACTTATAACTTTTTTTTTACAACCTCTTACAACCATATCTTAACACCATTGATTTTTGTTAATCATCGGTTATGATTTTCACAAATTAAACTTATTAGTTAATTATTAATTCACAATAAATGATAACCGTTGATTGACGGAAATCAACGGTGTTAAGATATAGTTGTAAGAGGTTGTAAAAACAAAAAGTTGTAAGTATAATTTTTCTCTTTTTATAATTATAATTTATTTCAAAATTATAAAAGTCTTTATCACTATAATTTTTTAACTGTGGCACGCAAAATATGCTTCCTCGGTGCATCAAATTTAAGCTATTTAATGCAAGCCATTTGTCATGTTTCAAAATTCTAACGCCAATTGAAGTTGTTTGCATATTCATATTATTGTTGAAAGCTCTTAGCCGATTTATCTTCTATGGTTAAAACTTTTGAAAAAGCAAAGTTAAAGCATGAATTTAAATCGTTATGCTGACTAATTAATTCAAGCGGAATGGGGTGGAAGCCACGTGATAAATCATTCACTTCAAAAAAAGTTCTTTATTTTTTTGAATATTTTTTTTATAAATATTGAGAAATATGTTTGTCCTTTTAAATGACATAATTTATGTCATCTCACTCTCACAAATGGGGCCCACATATTTATTTTTTGATCCATTCTCTCCTCCTTTATCTATCTCTTTCTCTCACTTAAAATGATATAATTTTACATAAATTAATATGACACATATTTTTTCTATAAATATTAACTAATGTCTAAAATTCTATTGAACCGAATAATTTGGCAAATATGACACATATTTTTTCTATAAATATTAACTAATGTCTAAAATTCTATTGAACCGAATAATTTGGCAATGGATTGATGCCTTTTCACCTTTTGACACTTCGAATTTGAACCCATTACCCTTTTAGAGTATCAAATTTTAGGACCTAGTTGGCTTTTCACTAACATTAACAACTCTCCAGAATAAAAAATCATTTTATAATTAAGGTATATTTGTTTTTGATTTAGATGGATTATATGACACCATGGATAGATGTTGGGTAAAGGCAGGTTAGACATATGGACATGATTATGACCACTGATACCAGAAGGCATTTTTATTTTTTATTTTTTTAAAACTCCAGAAAACAATTTCATATGCTAGAATATGTACCACCTATTATTAGTGGTGTAAACTGAATTACTAACTTTTTGGATAAATATTTATTTTTAACAAATAAAGCAACATAAAAAAGATAAAATTGAAGAGCAACAATATATTTTCCAAAAAAAAATTCTTTGAAATTCTTACCCCGGATCCGATGCATTATGCATTATGCATGCAAGCATTGCACATGACCATATATGATGTTTACATAAATTGAACCCTTTTGGCCCCAACAAAAATTGTGCCATTCTTCTGTTGTCACCAGGGACCTCACCCTCCTCTGTGTGTATGTAAATACATGTGCAATTTAAACAGCGAATGATTATCACCTCAGGACCAGTGTGAGGATTCTGCAACAGAACAAAATCAACAACAAATATAAAAGAAAAAGGAAAAAAAGAAGAAGGAAGAGGAGATTTTTCTGCTGATGGAGTACGCTGAAAACCTCTCTGCATAATTTTTTTTTTTTTTTTTTATTCTGTTCTTCTTAATCTTCATCATCATCTTCTTATTATTTTTTATCTGGGTCATCGTCATCTTCATCCTTCTATGTTAAAGTTTTCACCTTTATGTTTGTTTTTGGTTGGTTTTTTTTTTTTTTTTTTTTTGAAGTTTTGTTCGTCTTTCATTGCAGGGAATTGTCCAGGAATAAGAAGCAGAACAGGTGGCAATTAAAAAGATTATAACTTGTATGCAAAGAAGAGTAGAGAATCATAGAACAAAGCCAAAAAAGAAAATAAGAGTACGAATTTGATCGTTAAACCGAGGTATGATGTGAGACTCTGATTGTTTGAACGATGTTTTTTATTTTTATTTGGTTTTCCTTAATTGTTGGAAATTTATTTCTCTGACTCTCTCTTGCCCATGTCTATTTTTGTATTTAATGCAAAGAATTTATTTTTACATTTTTTTTTTTCACTTTAAATTTACTGAGAATTTTTTAATTTTTTTTTTTGGAAGCAAATTTATGGATTTTTTAACTTGATCATCCAAGAGGCTACGTAACAAAAGCTTGATCAAGTTTTGGCTTAAGAAACTCGTTTCATTTGATTCTGTTGATTAGCTCATATTTTGCTCTGTCTGTGAATAATTTTTTTGGATTGTTTTTATTTTATTATGTGTATCAAATGTTGCTTTCGGTGCTGCTTCTTCATTTCTGATTTCGTTTCCCATTTCCAGAATTTTCATCTTTTTTTCCTGCCTTCGTTTTAGTTTTAATTTCTCATTCTTATTTTCTCGTTGGACCAACAAGCCAAGAATATGTTTTGATTTTCTCATTCTAAATCTTTGGTTAAAATTAAATTCATCGATTTTGTGCCTTTCATCAAATACAATTGGACTTGTGGCTGGAATCTATGGTTGAACTGATTTAAGCTGAAACCATTTTAAGAAGTGTATCTGTTGTGAATTGTGATGATGAAAAGGGTCACATATTACTTGTACTTGTCTTACCTCTTTGAGAGTTCAATATTTTTTTTGAATGGTAGAAAAGGGTTCAAATTATTTATCTTATAGACAATCAAGAATCATTAGAGAAAAATATATGAAATGAAATAAGATAACGAAGAAATTTGAACTTAAATGTAACCAAAATAATGTTCATTTTAGAAATAGTGAAGTCAACATCTTAGGGGTTGATTATAGTTATGGAATTTGATTATGTGATTTTGTTTCTTATTTAGTGTAATAGTTTTTGTGTGTGTGTGTGTGTGTTAGTAAGGTACATTTATATTTTTATTCAATTGTAGGGGTGTAAGTGCTTTTAATAAAAATACTTCTTACAGTATTTGCTCGGAGAGACTGCTTAAATTTCTGTAAAATTAAAACCTAATTAATTAATCTTTTACATACAAACCCCAATATTATATTGCATTTTAGAGTTTTGTATAAATTGCCGTGGAAAAACATTGTGAATTTTCAAGCTATTTCTTCTTTTATGTAAAAGAATTTATATCAATAGCAGAGTAAAAAAAGAAAATTATGATATGGAGATGTTGTTTAAACGAACTATGAATGAAAAAAATAAAAGGAATCAAATTGAAGAAATGTAAAGCTTAATTATTAATATTAAGATTATTCCTTATGGTTCATATCACTGATAGATTCATTGATAGTTAAAATGTCTCTCTCTTTAGAACTAAGCTACTGAAGAGGAAAAACACTCTCAAGGGAGTAGTGATAATTAGAAATCAAAATCCTGCCATATGCAATGAACTCCAAAAACAAAGTATTTTGATAATCATTCTTTTGTCGTACAAGGGCATGTTTACTTTAATGCACTATTTAGTTGAGCAACTGTTAAGACAGGCTATTGCTTTACACATAATCAACAAATTCATACATTTACATTATCAATTTTTCTGGCCTGCAATGTAATGACATTGGTTCTTACGGTCATTTTGATTAATTGAAAGTTCTATGATTTGTTATATGTCCAAATTCTTGCTTATGAGTTATTTCAAATGTAACAGGGAGAAGAAGATGAATCATGCTCGCTTGGAACTTTGTCATGAACCACTTAAAGTATCCAGATTACCTTTTGTTCCAGAAAAACTGGGTGATATGGTTGTAATCTTAATAAGGATTGGCATACTTGTGTGCCTTATTGCATCCATTTCACTTGCTATCCACTCAGCATTCTCTAAACCAGACCGGTGGTTCCCATTACCTGAGCATTTACATGCCTCCCAGTATGCTTCAGTGATTGACAGTGGACCTACAAACATCTCACATATTCTATTTGGCATTGCTGGTTCTGCTAACACATGGCATGACCGTAGCAACTACAGTAAGCTATGGTGGAATCCGAACACCACTCGAGGTTTTGTTTGGCTTGACAAGAAACCTGAGATTTCACACCCTGACATGTTAATGCCATATAAAATCTCACAGGGCTGGACTCAGTTCAAGTACTTGCACTCAGCATCTGCGGTTCGAATAGCTCGGATAGTTTATGAGAACTTTAAACTTGGTTTGCCAAATGTTAGGTGGTTTGTAATGGGAGATGATGATACAGTGTTTTTTACCGAGAACTTAGTTACCGTGTTGAGAAAATATGATCACAAACAAATGTATTATATTGGTGGGAATTCTGAGAGTGTGGAGCAGGATGTGATGCATTCTTATGACATGGCTTTTGGTGGTGGTGGATTTGCAGTCAGTTATGCATTAGCAGCTCAACTAGCCAAAACAATGGATGGTTGTCTTCGAAGATACTTCTATTTTTATGGTTCTGATCAAAGGGTCTGGGCCTGTGTGAATGAAATTGGGGTGCCTCTTACCAGAGAGGGTGGATTCCACCAGGTATAATGTGTTTCCACTTGTTAATTTTTGTGTATTTGTTGGTATACTATATACTGATACACATAATTTGATCTCTCCCCTCCTGCATAATATCATGTGTAGTAGTACTACAAAGTTTGCAAGTTGATTATCATCAACCTGGATGCAAATCTTTTGATCATTGTTGTACAATTAATGAACCCTCGCGTTGCATGTTTTAGTTTTTGTGTACTCAGCCTGGCTGCAAATCTTTGGGCTCAAGAAATTTTCTGTTTTTTATTGTCCTTTTCTTTCAGCTTGACATAAGAGGGAACCCATATGGTCTTTTAGCAGCACACCCCTTGGCACCACTTGTATCACTCCATCACCTTGACCAATTGGACCCACTGTTTCCCAACAATACGCAAACACATTCAATGAAAAATCTCATCAGTGCTTACCACCTTGACCCTGCCCGGATAGTGCAGCAAAGTTTTTGCTATGATCATAAGCGTAGATGGTCAATATCTATTTCATGGGGTTACACAATACAAATCTATACAGCAAAGTTGATAGCAGTGGATTTGGAGATGCCACTGCAGACATTTCGGACCTGGCGAAGTTGGAGGGATGGTCCCTTCACATTTAATACTCGACCTATGAGCTCTGATCCGTGCCAGCAGCCAGCTATATTTTTCCTGGACCAGGTTACAAAGGTAGGAAGAAGTGGCAGTATCACTATCTACAAGAGATTTGAAGCCAAGGAAGCCAAAAAGTGCATGAGAGCAGATATTAATACTGTGAAAGTGCAGAAAATTAGAGTTTCTGCCTTGAAGCTGGACCCAGAATATTGGAATAATGTACACACCCTCTCTCTCTTTTTCTCCTACACACACAAAAATAAAATAAAATTATACACTAGATTTAGAACTTGTGAGAAATATAATATAAAATATAAAAACATTCATATGTCTTCACATAAGAGCTTAAGCTTTTGGAAGGGTTGGTTGCATGGCATGGTATTAGAGCTCTGTGACCAAGTGGTCCAGAGTTCAATCCTTGTCGCTTCATTCTTGTCATGATACTTTTATAGAGTTGAGGCTAATGTTCCTGACTATAATTGAAATGCCTGTATCTTTGGAGTTTAAATATTGCTTTTAAATTGATCATTTGATTTGGCTGTACTGAACCAGGTACCACGAAGGCAGTGCTGCCAACTTATGGATGGTGGAAGCATAAAGAATGGCAGCATGCATATCAGGATTAGGAAGTGCAGACCTCAAGAAACAGTTACTATTTAGGGATCAGTTGTTTTTGTTGATCGTCATATTTAGTAGATTACTATAAAGTGAATATTGTAGGTCTACCACTAACATTTCCACCTATGTACATACATAGTTGTCAAAATATTCATGTAATCTCAACTTTTAATAAATAAATGTCCTAGGAAGTTTTTCCACCAGTATTTATTGCCGCAAATATCATATATTATAGAGATAGGTGTTGTTTTTTCTCTCCATTTTCCATATTAAGGTTTCCTGTTCAATAATTCAAGCATATGCTTTTTCTGACTCCAGGAAGACCTTCCCTCATTGCTTCTACCCCTCATTACAAATGTCTTCATTTGATGTAACTTTCACTCTAGAAATTGCGCCACCTCTCCCTGCAATGGCCAACGGTCATTCCTTTTTAGATATTGATGTTCAAATTTTCATTTTACTTTGTTGAGCCTTTATGTGCAGGTTCAAATGCTGAGAACTGAATTGCATACTTGGTACATCTCTGAATATTGATGGGCAGAGTTGGCAGGGTATGGCTCCTGGAGATAACTGACCATCACCGCATAAAACTAGACTAATCTTGTTTTTTGCTATATTATGAACTTCACATTGTTTAATGGTGGAATACCTCTCAGTTGCATTTCTCTATTTTTCTCCAACTACATACAGAATTTTATCTGATGTGTTCAGGATAAACAAGCACCAATGGATGTTAGCTTGAAGCTTGTTAGAAAATTGGTTTAAAAAATATAGAAAATTTTGAACAGGTTGTTTGTTCTCTCTCTCCCCTTTTTAAGGGATTTATGGCTAAGGGATTTGTGGTATTTTTATTTATTTTGATACAATGGTGTGAAGTTTAGACCTATGGTGTCATGCAAACTATCCAAAATTTTCACCAGTAAATCAATTTTAATGGTTTTTTTTTTTTTCATTTTTAATTTTATTTGCTGAGAACTGTATTCTTTCTCTTCATTCAATAGTTGGACAGTCGAAATGTGTAACTTGATACACAGGGTATTCAAGAACATTTTAAAATAAAAAATAAAAGTGGTATTCAAGAATTACCTTATTATAGAAAAATACCTGTTTTATTGTGCATTTTTGTGCCCAGCTGTCGAACGCATATTCATTTCTGGCATTGCTCGTAATAATGTGATCAAAACACTATAAATCGGATATGAAAGGTCTCCTTTTGGCTGTTTTTCCGGTGTATGCTAGGGGTGGTTAATTGATTTTTAGATGTAGGATTCGTAAGCAGCAGCCAGCAACCATGATCAATACTTGCGGGTATGCATTGTTACTATTCAGAACAATTTCGCGACAAACTTCAGAACAAGGTTACTCAAAAGCCAGATAGTCCAAAATTTTCAGGAGAACGCCATTCTGTGCATCCAAACATGGGTAAAGCCTAAGACCAATTTTTGGCTCACAAAATGTGTCCATAAGAAGATGTAAATACTAATACTAAATACATCACAAAGGCACAAACACAACCTTAATATTTCAAAGGCCTTGCATCAACGCGTTACGGTTTACCTCATTCGCAGAGACACGAAAGCCTACAAAATGAGAACTACTTGTCGTCATTCATACCCATTATGCATGCTGCAGTGCGAGCGAATTGAGGTTTTGTACAAAAACTAATTTTGGAAATTTGACGCTAACTATCCCTGACGCATCTCCATAGGTAAAAAGGGAAGCCTAACAACAGCACCTCGTTAAAAGATATAATTCATCTCAAGCTACAATATATTTTCAGATAAACTACATGAACAAGAAGCTTTCTATGGGATAAGGGAAAGGGCAAATGCCAATTGACAGGTGAAAATGTGATCTGATTAGATCAAATTGCTGCGTCTTTGCCTGAGAATTATATACTTCCCCTGCTGTAATACTTCTGCATCTATCAGTGGAAAGACAAAATTAAGATGTGAATGTGATCCACAATACTCTGCACAATCAGTATTTCCAGGTCAGGGATCATGTGTATGACTATGAACAGAAAAACCGATTCAGGTGGCAATAACATTGAAGCTATAATTAACCAACAATACTAGCGTCTTCACAGTTTGCTGTCTCACTAGAAGGAACAGAACGCATTTCATCGGGCACCAAACCTCCTACTGATTCACCCTGACGGTGCTGCAAATGCTCGGAATCTTGCTCGGGGAATACCTCAAGTTGCAATGACGGTGAAATGTTATTCACATGTAGCCATGTTAGTTCCCATAGACTATCACCACCCAAGGCACTCCTCTGCACCAGGATACCCCTCATCTTCATAACAAGCAAGGAATTTTTAAGCAGCTCAGGCACAGTCTCTTGAAGCTTCTCACTTCTTTTTCCCCTAACCTTCACCTTCATATATTTTTCCATTCTGCTCAGTACACCTAGCCATAGCTTGCAGAAGGTTGTCACTTGTGATAAATCTGGGAGTAATTGAAGATAAACTTTGGACAAGAGCTTCATCGCAAAGATAAGTGTGCCTTCCATGTTGCGGTAGTCCTTCTGAGAGTGTCCCTGTGCAATCTCAAGCAAGTCATCAAGCACAGTAAATATCACAAGATCAAAACACTGTAACCACAAACCATGAGGGAGATAAATGCCATCAGCTCCCGTCAAGCACCGCTGCAAAGACAATAAAGCATGATTTCTGACCTCCTCTCTCTGGTCTAAACACACCTTCCTTAGACCCTGCACTAGTCTCAACCACATCTCTCCGATATCCTGAGACAACTTAGACACTTGCTCATCCCCCATTGCTTCTTTAGTCTCAGTAGTCCACCGGGCCAAGCAATTGACAGACCCTGCCATGAGATCTAATGCACGTACAGATCGCTCTGCTTGTCCAACACGTGACTCTGCAAACTGCCTTGCGGTATCTACACAGAGAAGATAATTAGCAGGAAGCAAGTGGGCACCATCGGACATTATAAACAATAGTGCATCAAATCCAGCCTCAGATGCTTCTGTGTGTCTAGCTGTGATGGAAAGTAGTGATGTAATCGTACGCCACCCTAATTGGGATCTTATATGAGAAGCATTTGCCTTCACAAGGCGACTGACTTCCTGAGTAATCTGCTCACAGTATGCATCAGCAACCCGAGCATCAAGCTTCAAGACAAGTTGCAATGACCTCAGAAGTTCATCAGCAATGTTCTCCTTGTAGGGAAGTAAACGCTGGCAAATCCGCAGGAGTCCAAAGACAGCCTTCTCTACCAGGGCACAGGGCATTACAGTTGACTGAACAATATTGGATATGTGCTCATACACACCTTGCCAAAGAATCCCAATTCTGTCCCTGTTATTCAGAGTGATTGCAATCAGCAACTCCAGGCAAAAAACTGCTGTATCTTCATCCTCAGGTGTGCTGTTCACTTTTTGAGGTCGCCCAGCAGCCCAAATGAGTGCTCTTGCAAGCTGTAATAGAGATTCAGCTTGCAGAAATTTACTCTCGGTGAATATGCTGTCAATGTGACACTTCTGTATTGTTTTTAGGGTGTGCTGATGAGCAGCAAGTTGTTGTTCAGTAGGTTGTGATCTTGGCTCCTCAGTTTCAAGAGATAAGAGTTGACTAAACCTACCCATCAATCCTGAGGACCTCCTAGGAGTGCCAATAGATTGCATATGAGCCGAGGATAAAGAATTTATAATAGGCTTTCCATGCACAGTTTCAGCAGAAAGCTCTGACTCATCAGCTGCATCACTGGCAACACGGGCAGGAAGAAGACCTAGCTTGTGCAATCTTAAGATGCAATCAAGAATGTTTCTCCAACCTGTACGTATGAAATCACCGTACTTATTCGCAATATTAAATACCGTGTCAGTTGCCATTCTTGCTTTCATGTCATCTCCAAAGGCAAGCACTGGTTCCTCCGCTGATGATGGGTTTAAAAGTGAAGTGAACTTACAGAGAGAAACTACCAGATCATCCAGAACATCTTCAAGATGATGGCAAGCTGAAATCTTAGCAACAGCAAAGAATCCATCCATACATGTTTGGTATACCTCTTCCTGTTCAGCATGATCAAATACCACAGAGATAGCAGCAATCGTTGGGCCTGACATTATGGCAAACATATCATGATCAAGGTAGGCCTTGGAATCAGATACAATAAATGGTGCAGTTTTATTTGACTTGTGCATTAGATCAATCCACCGACATGGTGTCATTTCAGGAAATCCAGCACCTTGTTCACAGGTCGTGCGGATTTCATTTTTACAAATTGAATGGTAAATCTCTGACAGGAATTCTCGGGGCAGATCATTGCCACCATTTATATGCCTATTATTCCGGATAAAATCTTCTTCTGTCATCTTCTTTTTAACCTGCACATTGTGCTGATCTGTATTAAGCATTATCATTGAGTACGATAACACAAGAGCAGCATCCTTATTAGCCAGAATATGAGGTGACTGTTCATAATATCTCTCAGAGAAAGCTTCAAGCACCCTGTGTATCTTTTGTGATTCTCCAGGCAGTCTGAAAGTCTCCAAAAATAGACGCAGGGCAGTGTCTAAGTTCATGTCTTGGAAATCAAATGTTCCAGCAAATTCATGAAGAACCTGAACACAGAATTCATCAGGGTTTCCTAGGAAATCACCAACAAGATTCTTATCCAACCCAGCAGTGTATCTGAAAAAGCAAGCAACACTTTGGGGATCAAGTTTGTCAGGCAAAAGATGTGTTCCTTGGAGAAACTCTAGTCCTTTCTTAGGATCACGATTAAAGTGGTCAGCTCCAATCATCAATCTTCTCTTTATGTACTTTCTACGGCGGACAAAAGGAACCCAATGATTTGGATCACTGTAATTCTCACATTTAACCATCCAGAATCGAGTATACTCTCCAAGATTAACTGGAGAATATTCTGAGCTTAAAGATCCAATGGTAATCCTTTCGGCCATTCCCTGTATAACAGCAATAAGACCATCCAAAGCAAGAATGTGCATGGCAGACAATGGGCAGTTCACAGGAAATGCACTTTTGGACAACAAATTAGCAAGGTCTTCAAAGACATTGCTGCAAGTTATGTCACAGTCAAAGTTAGCATACATATCTACCATGAATGTCTTTTGCCTGCAGAAGTCAACAAGCGCCTCCATGGCTACCTCTTGTTGCTGGTATGAAGCCCCATATCTGCTCTGTGCAAGCCTCAAAATGACACAAGAAAAAAATGCTTCTAGCTGTAATTTGAGTTCTGTACGAAGATGATGATACAGATTGAGAACCACACTACACACCATTGAAAGTATAAGGGGACTCATTGACAAACCAAATTGCATTAGATAATGAAACAATTCATCCTGAATTAAGCTCAGCAACCTAGGGTGACGGTGAATAGAGGGCCCTCCAAGTTCAATTGCAGAATTAATTAAAGTTAAGGCAAAGAAAGACAAATCTTCATCAAATGCTATAGTGTTTGATCTAGGACCCATTTCCATATGCTCAAGAACATTCAGGAGAGAACACAAAAAGTGAAATATTTCCACCATGCAGGTAACACCATATGGTTCAGTCATGGGATGCATGTCATATGGTACACCCTCCTTGCCACTAATAGCAATCGCTGTGTTTTCGTCCATCACAGTTGCTGTCATAACATTTGCAGCATTGCGGGCAAAGTTTGTGGGTAATGGTTGATTATCATATTCAGAACTCATGCCACCATTCTCCAATTGTCTACTTCCAAAAGCATACTCATTGTTCAGGCCACCAGTCTGCACAAATAATCAACAAATACAGATACTCATATAGAGATGTCATAAATATTAAGTTCTTGACAATCCAAACTGTTAATTCTAGGCAAAACAATTAACAGATTCTCTTTGAATGTTTGAAAATTTGACTATCTAAGTGTCATTATTAGTAACTATCCACAAAGACATGCTCTTTTCCCATCCCAACCGCACAAACTGACCATAAAGATACTTTCTTTTTTCTGGGGATGGGGAGACAGAGGAAAAGGGAGGTCTGTGAAGTTCATCTTGGGCTGTAAAAGATACTTAAGATCCAGTTATAGTCCACAGGTCGAACACTATTAATGGTATATGACACCCAAAAACCCATGGTATACATTTTACATTTTTTAAAAATAATAACTGGTGGAAATTAAAATTAAAATAGGGAGTTGACAATATTTTAACCGGAGAATAGACAAGTAAACTTTTTCACTCCATCAAATTGCGAACAGAGATAAGTAACTGATAGCATACCACTAATTCTTGCATATATGAACAATAATTAATAAAAGAGATCGCCCTCTCTCTCTCTCTCTCTCTCCAATTCCCCTTTCTATTATATTTCTCTTTAGCAGCTAAAACAATAATTATGGAAAAAAATGTAGGCTTTAAAGAAAGGAAACATGAACTTCATACCTCCTGATTCAAATTAGAGCTTCCATTAACCAATGCATGGTCTGTGTTGTCAACATCTTGAAGGTGAGAGAAAATACACCTTACAAGTTCATGCATTGTGTACCGTGCTATCTGCTGCAATAACTCACCTTTGTTTCCTGCTTGATGAACTATACGGAAACAAGTATTCACTATGGTGCAAACATGTTGGTTACTCAGCATTATAGACGCTTTACTTTTCATACATGCTAGGAGAACTTGTAGTATCTTCATTAAAACAACTTCTTCCGAAGAAGGATCAGTGACCTCAAATCTGCAGCTAGTGACACCATCAACCACCAAGTGCATGGCATCCTCAACATTGACAGTATTTTGATCAATCACATCAAGAGTTAAGATCTTGTGAACAGATGACAAAGCAACACCAGTAATTGGTGCACCGGTTTCATCAGATCGAATCACATCTAAAAATGGCTGTAAATACAAGGCAGGGTTGATAGCATGCCACTGATGGTGGTGCCATGAAAATATTTGTCTCCTTAATGCCTTGAAAGACTGAATGAGAGAGTGTTCCAGCTGATCATCACCTGACATATAACGACCTCCCCATCTTACATTTCTTCTCATGACTGCCAAAACAGCGCCAATTTCTGAACTGATCATGCATGCTAAAGTTGTTTTGTTAGGATAGGTAGCATCACACTCCTCTGGTTCCTCCTCCTCTATCGCATTGATACCACCTTGCAGCTTTAGACGTCCCATTTTCGCAATATTCTTTGTACAGTACAGCAAAGAGTCTTCTATGAAGTCCAAAAGAGACAAGAAATATAACGAGATCAGGATTTCCACAAAGCAAATAACTCAAAAGGGAATTGTTAAAGTACCATACTTGGTACAATACCCAAGCTGAGCTATCAAACATTTATTGAGCACTAACTTCATAATAAATGTTTAAAATTACATAAAATATAACCAGAAATCACAGAAACCCTTGAAAATAAAAAAGAGAGCATAAGTACAAACACAGGAAACACAAATCAGCAACACAGCATGTACATGTTGAGTACATAAGGAAACCCTAAAAGTACAAACATTACACAGACATAACCTAACCGTGCAAATACACATGAGATTCTAAAATGCAAAGGTGGATGAAGATCTAATAGATCCAGCATTTCATTGATGCAGTTGAAATCAAATCCCATACAATTGAAAGATGAAGTACAAATCGGTGTGAAATAAATGAAGCAACAACACTTGAACATTCATCCAACAAGCATGAACTCCAACTGTTCCGATACAGAGAGAAGAGAAGAAATCGCAACATCCACTGAAAGCAAAAACCTCACTCACTCGTTGCTCTCTTCGATTCGGAAAGTTCCGTTGCTTCTCTTAATTCTCGAATTCAATGTAAACGTTGAGAAAATTTGGTATTGCTCTTCATCGGAATCTTCAATCTACTTCTTTGTTTTCTTCTTCTTCTTCTTCTTCTTCTTCTCTTTGAGGTGACCTGTTCCTTCTAATTCAACGCAAGATTTGGAAAACATAAAGAAAATAAAATGGTTCAAGAAAAATCTAAGAAAATTTTATTTATTTATATAATTAACTTGGCTCATATTTCATTTAAAAAATAATTATTAAATAGTGTTCAAATTAAAAAAAAAAATCAAATATATAAAAGTGCATGAAAATTAAAATCATGATTCATGACCGCATTGCATTAAATACAACATAATTTTTTGTCGAATTGTCACCCAAGATTAAGAACACAAAAAATTAATTAATTAATTAATTTTGCTCTATTCTTTTGTGTTTTTAATGCCTTTGTGTTAGCAATAAATTACTGAAATGGACTATTCTTGCTTTCTATTTTAATCCATGAGTTTTCTTTTTGGTATAATAAGTGGTGCTGGACTAAACAAGCTTTTATTTTGTTATTGATGTTAGGGGTATGAATAAGTAAGTCAAGTGAGGCTTTAGCCCAAATAAATTAAATTTATATAAAATATTTTAAAATTGATTTGACTTATTTGCAAGTTGTTAGAGTATAATATATGACTTTAATATTTCTAAAGTGAATGTAGTTAAATTATTTATATTTGTTCTCAAAACGATGTAGTTTTGCGTTGAAAAATTAAAAAATTATAATGAAAAAGACTATTATAACCCTGGAATAAATTATAATTACAAAAATACATTCATTTCTGCTTCAAAACGACGTCGTTTTAGGTTTAATGTAGATAAGTTATCTACATTGACGGTAAAAAAAGCGAACCCATAATATATACTATTAAAGAGGCCTTCACCTAATAGCTTAAGGTTTTGGGTTGAATCGGTTTGATTCTCGTCGCCCCCCATTTTCTTTGTGAAATTTCTTAGCATACGTAGGCTGAGTCTGATGCATTATCTACCTTTCAAATCCAACGGGCTCTCTTATAAGTGGCGTGTTAGAGTATAATATACACTATTAAAGAGACATTCACCCAATAACTTAAACTTTTGGATTGAATCGGTTCTTTATACGAACAAAATTATAGATTTGACGTGATTTTAGCCTAAATAGAGTAGATTTATACAAAATATTTCAAACCTATCTTGACTTATTAGTATGGTACAAGCTAAATTATAGATTTGCTCCGATTTTTTTTTAGACATCAACTTACATCTATATAAAAAATAAAAAGTCTTACACTCAATCTTAACGGTTGATTTCCGTCAATCAGACGGTTAAAATTGATTAGATTATTAATCCCCAACAAATTACAACCATTAGATTTACAAAAATTAACGATTAAAATTGAGTGTAAAATTTATTATTCTTATACCGGTGTAATAAAATTCTACCCCTTTTTTTGAATACATTGTTGAGAATTAAACACACAACTTAATACAAAACTACCCAAACCCCTACCAATTCTGATGGCTTAATCTGATTTATTTTAAAAAATTACAAGACTTAACTCGGTCAATCAAGCCTTACAAGTTTTGAAAAAAATAATATATTACACTTATTAAATTAAAAATTATAATTACTTTATTTCTTTTATACGTTTAAGGTGTACAATAACTAAAATTACTATCCAAACTATTAATATTTTAAGTATATTTCCATAAATAAAAAATAACTAATTAAATAAAATTGTATTAATTTTTTAATATAAAATTAAATTTTGATTTAATTTAAAGTAAATTAAAAGTTTATATACACAACCACGCACACGCACGTACACATGCACATATACATATATAATAATAATAATAATTTAATAAAGAAATTTTTATAGTATCTATGTTTATGTTTAAAAAAAATTATTATAAATTGACATGTAGATGTTAGTCCCCATAAACTATCACCACACTCCTCTGCGCCAGAATACCCCTCATCTTCATAACAAGCTAGGAATTTTTCAGAAGCCAATACTAATGCTTAGGACAATTTGCAGTTAACAAACTGCATAATGGGAAGAGAGAACCTATATAGTATAAGCACCCAACAAGTAGGGAATGGAAGCACTCAAGCTATGTATAACATATCTCCAATCAAAAATCTCACTAGTATAGTAACAAGAGTCCCCGGGGCAAAATATGACAATAAAGATATGTCATGTTCTGCAGAATCTGCATTGAGGACCCTCACAATCTCAAGATAGAAAAAAAAGAAAATCTATCAAGGGTGGACTGAGATTATGGGTGAGTTCATAGGTACAAATAGAAAAGCCAATTCAGGTAGCCTAGGCACTGCAGGTAGAATTAACCTTAACCAATACCAGCACCATCTTGGCTCACTGTTTCATTTGAAGGAACAGGAATGCTTTCTTCATGCCCCAAATTTTCTACTGTTTCAATCTGTTTGCGGTGCAACCGCAACTGCTCTGAATCTTGCTCAGGGAACAACTCAGACTGCAACGACGGAGCAATATTCTTCATATGTAGCCATGTCAGTTCCCACAAATTGTTTTCACCTAAGCCACTGCTCTGCACTAGTATGCCCCCTGATTTCATAACAAGCAAAGTGTTCTTCAGAAGCTCAGGCACAAGCTCTTGAAGCTTCTCACTTCTCCTTCCCCTAACTTTCACCTTCATACACTTTTCCGCTTGGTTTAGCACACCCACCCATAGTTTGCAGAAGGCTTCCAATTGGGATAGATCTTGGATTAAATGGAGGAAAACTTTTGACAAGAGCTTCAAGGCAAGAATCAGTGTTCCTTCTATGTTCCGGTAGTCCTTTTGAGAGAATGCCTGAGCAATTTCAAGTAGGTCATCCAGCAAGCTGAAGATCACTTGATCAAAACACTGCAACCACAAATCACGTGAGAGATGAGTCCCCACGGCTCCTGTCAAGCACTTTTGCAAAGATAACAACGCATGATTTCTGACCTCCTCTCTCTGGTCCAAACATACTTTCCTTAGTCCCAGCCCTAACCTCAACCACATCTCCCCAATATCCTGCAACATCTTTTCCACTTCCTCTTCTTTTTCTGCTTGCTTAGCATCACTAATCCACTTTTCTAAACAATTTATAGAACCTGCCATAAGATCTAGTGCAACTAAAGACCGATCTACCGGACCTACACGAGACTCAGCAAAATGCCTTGCAGCATCTATACAGAGAATATAATTAGCAGGAAGCAAGTGAGCTCCATCAGACATAATGAACAACAGCGTATCAAATCCAGCCTCATATGCTTCCAGGTGTCTAGCAGTGATGGAAAGCAGTGATGTAATTGTCCGCCATCCTAACTGAGATCTAATATGAGAAGCATTTGCTTTCACAAGGCTACTGACTTCCTGTGTAATCTGCTCATAGTATGCATCTGCAACCCGTGCATCAAGCTTCAAGACAAGTTGCAGGGACCTCAAAAGTTCATCAGTAATGTTCTCTTTGTAGGGAAGTAAGCGATGGCAAATCCTTAGAAGTCCAAAAACAGCCTTTTCTACCAGTGCACAAGGCATCACAGTTGACTGAACAATATTGGATATGTGCTCATAAACACCCTTCCAAAGAAGTTCAATTCTATCCCTGTTATTCAGAGTGATTGCTACCAGTAACTCCAGGCAGAAAACTGAAGTATCTTCATACTCAGAAATTCTGTTCCCTTTCTGAGGTTGCGCTCCAGCATTAATGAGTGCTCTTGCAAGCTGTAATAGAGATTCAGCTTGCAGAAATTTACTCTCAGTGAATATGCTGTCAATGTGGCACTTATGAATTGTTTGTAAAGCTTGCTGATGAGCAGCCAGTTGTTCTTCAGTTGGTACTGATCTTGGTTCTTCAGTGCCAAGAGATAGCAGTTGACTAAATCTGCTCATTAATCCTGATGATCTCTTTGGAGTACTAACAGATTGAACACGAGTTGATGATAAAGAATTTGAATTAGGCTTCTCATGTTCAGTTTCTGTAGAAAGCTCTGACTCATTAGCTGCATCCCTGGCCAAACGAGAAGGAAGAAGGCCTAACTTGTGCAATCTTAAGATGCAATCAAGAATATTCCTCCACCCTGTGCGGATGTAATCACCATACCTATTTGCAATTGTGAAAACTGTCTCCGTTGCCATTCTTGCTTTTGTGTCATCTCCAAAGGCTAGGACAGATTCCTCATGTGATAACGGATCCAAAATGGTAATGAACTTACAGAGACACACAACCAAATCATCCAGTACATTTTCAAGATGATAGTAAGCCGAAATTTTTGCAACAGCTAAGAATCCATCTAAACATGTTTGGTAAACCTCTTCATTTTCAGCATTATCAAGCACCACAGAAATGGCAGCAATTGTTGGGCCTGACGCTATAACAAACATATCATAATCCAGGTATGCTTTGGAATCAGACAAAATGAATGGAGCAGATTCCTTTGACTTGTGCATCAGAGAAATCCACCGACTTGGGGTCATTTCAGGAGATCCAAAGCCTGGTTCAGGGGTTGTGCGGATTTCATTCTTACAAATGGAATGGTAAATCTCTGACAGGAATTCTCGAGGTAGATCATTGCCACCATTTATACGCCTATTATTCCTGATAAAATCCTCTTCTGTCATCTTCTTTTTGACCTGGACATTGTGCTGATCTGTATTAAGCAATATAATTGAGTACGATAACACAAGAGCAGCATCCTTGTTAGCCAGGATATGTGGTGACTGCTCATAATACCTCTCAGAGAAAGCTTCAACCACCCTTTGTATCTTCTGTGATTCACCAGGCAGCCTAAAAGCCTCCAAAAATAGGCGCAGGGCTGTGTCTAAGGTCATATCTTGGAAATCAAATGTTCTAGCAAATTCATGAAGAACCTGAACACAGAATTCATCATGATTTCCAAGGAAATCACCAATGAGATTCTTATCCAACCCAGCAGTGTATCTGAAAAAGCAGGCAACACTTTGAGGATCAAGTTTGTCAGGCAAAAGATGAGTTCCTTGGAGAAATTCAAGACCCTTCTTAACATCACGATTGAAGTGATCAGCTCCAATCATCAATCTTCTCTTGAAGACCTTTCTTCGGCAGACAAAAGGAACCCAATCATTTGGGTCACCAAAATTTTCGCACTTTTCCAGCCAGAATGGAGTATACTCTTCAAAATTCACAGGAGAATGTTCTGAGCTTACAGGTCCATTGCCTATCCTTTCAGCCATTCCCTGCATTACAGCAATAAGACCATCCAAAGCAAGAATATGCATGGAAGATAATGGACTGTTCACCGGAAATGCACTTTTGGACAGCAAATTAACAATGTCTTCAAAAACATTACTGGAAGTTATGTCACAGTCAAAGTTAGCATACATCTCCATCATGAATGTTTTTTGCCTGCAAAAATCAACAAGTGCCTCCATCACAACCTCCTGTTGCTGATATGAAGCCCCATATTTGCTTTGTGCAAGCCTCAAAATTACACAAGAAAAAAATGCTTCTAGCTGTAATTTGAGTTCAATACGAAGATGGTGATACAAATTGAGAACAATGCTACACACCATTGAAAGTACAAGAGGACTCAATGACAAACCGAATTGCATAAGATTACGGAATAATTCATCTTGAATTAAACTCAGCAATCTTGGGTGACAGCGAAAGGAAGGCCCTCCCATCTCTATGGCTGAATTAATCAAAGTTAAGGCAAAAAGAGGCACGTCTTCATCAAATGCCATTGTGTTTGATCTAGGATTCATTCCCATATGCTCAACAACATTCAACAAAGAACACAAGAAGTGAAATATTTCCACCATACAGAGAACCCCATATGGTTCAGTCATGAGCTGCAATTCATGTAGATCAGTCTCCTGGCCACTGATAGCTACAATTGCTGATACATCAGCTCCAGTACTGGAAGCAATGCCTGTGGATAATGGTCGACTATCATTTGCAGAACTCAGGCTCCCATTTTCCAATTGTCTGCTTGCTGAAGCATGCTCATTACTTAGCCCACCGGTCTGCAAAATATATATTCTAATTGATTACAAATTTCTGCATGTACTGACTCTCAAAATTCAGTTTTGCACCAGCAAAATTGTTTATTTCAGTAGAACAATTAAATTATTAACTTTGAGAATTTATATATTTGACTGTACAAATATCAGTATTAGTAAAAATTGTAATAATTGGTGGAGACAACTCTCTACCCCTAACTAGTAACAACACATGCATCCTACAAAAATTCTTTGCTTTTTATTCTCTCTTTGTTTGGAGGTGCATGAAGGTGGTGCAAGACAGCAGGGAGTTGGTACAAACTTTATTTTTACTGATAAATATTATTATAAGGGTTTTCCCTTGTTTCCTGGTAAGTTCCAGATAATCTACCAAGAAGATTTCTAGGTCATGTCCCTAGCCCTCCTTTCTTATTTTTGCTGTCCAGCATCTGAAGGGGAAGTAAGAAGAGAGGTCTAAGTTCATTATTTCACTTTAAGCTGTACATCAGACTTAGAAGGCAAGTATATAATCATCTGGTCAAACATTATATGGTATTTAACACTCCAGGATTAGCAGCATACAATTTGTAGGGAATAACAAATTGATGGAAATTGAAAATTTCATACAAATAATAAACTGTAATGTAAGTAGAGAAAAATAAGTTAAGGAGCATTTCCTGCTCAACAATTTCACATGTTGTAAGCTGAGTTTGAGAATAACAAACAATAGCAAAACAAAAATTCTAGTGTAAATAACAACTGACAAAATAATCACATGAAAAAAGTGAAAAATGCAACCATAAAGGACAAAGATGACGCAAATCTTATACCTCTTGTTTTATATTTGCACTCCCATTCATCAGTGCATGCTCCGTGTTCTCAATATTCTGAAGGTGAGAGAATATACACCTAACAAGTTCATGCATTGTGTACCGTGCTATCCGCTGCAACAACTCACCTTTGGTTCCTGCTTGATGAACTATACGGAAACAAGTATTCACTATGGTGCAAATGTGTTCGTTACTCAGAATTACTGATGCTTTACTTTTCACACATGCTAGAAGAACTTGTAAAATCTTCATTAATACCACTTCTTCTGATCCAGGATCAGTCACTTCAAACCTGCAACTTGTGACAGCGTCAACCACCAAGTGCATGGTATCCAAAATGTTGACAGTGTTTTGATCAATCACATCAAGAGTTAAGATCTTATAAACAGATGACAAAGCAACACCAGTAATTGGTGTACCAGTTTCATCTGATTGAATCACATCCAGAAAAGGCTGGAGATACAAGGCAGGGTTGATGGCATGCCATTGATCCTGCCATGAGAAAATTTGCCTCCTTAATGCTTTCAAAGACTGAACAAGAAAGTGCTCAGATTGGTCATCATCTGACATATAATGAACTCCCCATCTAACATTTCTTCGCATGACTGCCAAAACAGCACCAATTTCTGCATTGATCATGCATGCTATAGTAGTTTTGTTAGGATATCCAGCATTGAATTGCTCAGATTGACCCTCTATTGCATGGAGACCAGTTTGCATTTGCATCTTTAGATGTCCCATTTTGACTAAGGGATCAGCTCGACATTTACCAAAAGAATGTTGAGATGAACAAAAGTCCTACGAATAGCAGTGTAAAAAGAGAGAAAATTAATATAGTGATAAGGATTTCCAGATGTCAATGACCCCAATGAAGCATGGGTAACACAAAAAGACCAAATTCAAAACAGTTGCAAATTACAAACATATGAAACACAGCCTGAGGATGTACTAGAACTCTAGAATCTAAAGAAATTCATCAAGGAAGCATGTGCCCAGTGAATATATAAGTACAGAGACATTCAGAAAGAGGCCTTACTTCATAGTAACAAGGCTGTATAAAATAATTTAAAAATTATCCAATCACAGAAATATCAAGTAAAGAACTCTAACCACATATGAAAAGGAAATTGACTCATACGGAATCCCAAAGCATAGAATAACTAAACAACGTCTTCATTAATGCCGAACCAGTAACCAATTGGCTTAACAGAAAGAAAGAACGAAACAAGAATTGCGAGAAAACACTTTTCTCTTTTCTGAATTTTATTTAACCAAAAACAACCAAATAATAATAGGGTTCTCCAAACCTTAAATAGACAAAATAAAATAACAAAAAAATAAATAACTATAATCATGCGCAATCAAAAGAGATAACGCACAATCAACGCACACTCAAACATAATCTAAAAATAACAAAAAAGGAAATAATTAATAATTATTGAAAAATCCTAAACAATGGAATAAATTATAGAAAAGCCAAATCCAAGTCAATCACCCAGGTGCATCATTCATGCCTTGAACTTTGTAGATACAAAATATTTGGGTTATACAACAGATCAATAGCAGAGAATAACAATATATCTCAAATTTAAAATTATAACCAATACTAATTTTTAAGTCTCCACCACTAAATAAAATCCAGCAATTCCGTTACTATGGTTTTCATAGTTTAAAATTTAAAAAAAAAATTGAATCTGTAACTCATTGAATCGTGTAGGTTAGAGTTTAATGAATGTAGGTTTTGGTTCCTCTAAAACAAAGTTGAAAATTTCATTTCTGAGCTGAAACTTAAAATACATTTTTCCGAATAAACCACACCGGGACATAGACGGATCACATTAGAGGCACAGAAGTTGGACATCCATATAAGAAAGATAGAAAATCAAAACAAAAAAATTAAACTACTTCAGGATGGAAATCAATCCAGATGGAACAACAATCCAACTTTAAACCCATAACTTTCAAATTTCAAAAACAAATTTCATACATACATACATATAAACCTTAGATCTACCATTAAATCTCACCCTTCAGATTGAACCCATTTCCTTACAATCCTGTTGGCATAATCAAAATGATCAAATCCATTGGACATGACCCATTGGAAATTAAAGTAAAATTCTAAAAAGGGGTTCCAAAAAACTGTGAAAGTTTAAATTCCCACGATGACACCCCTCCAAAAAAAAAATGAAAAAATTGAGAATTGAGATTGAATCAGAGATGGGGGGAACAAAAGAAGAATAAAAACGAAAACTTACCGAGATAGTGAGTTTAGGGCATAAATCAGAGCTGATGGGGTTACATTGGTTGGAGTGTGGAATTGAAAATCATGGGTTGTGATGTGTTGTGCCACTTCCTTCCGACCCAGAAGCTCTTCTCTATTTCTTTCTTTCTTTTTTGTTTCTGTTATTTGGATTTGAATTTGTTTGTGTACCCTTTTAGAAACCACAAATTACTATACCAATCTCAACTTTCTCTCTATTTTGACATTTTGCCTATGTATCAATGCACGCTTCATACATCATAATCATAGTAACTCGGAAGTGGATACTTTCGAATCTCGTATCTCTCTCATATGTATTAAGGGAAAAATAAATCTTTTAAGAAAATCCTAATCTTATATCATAAATACAATAAATATGATATTCATCTATTTAAAAAGAAAAAAGAAAAAAAGTGACATATCTTTTTATGATATGTATAGGAAGGGTTTATTTTCTCACGTAACATGAAAAAAATAACCTTATGTATTAAATAGACTAGGTTTAATTATTATTAAAAAAAAATAGATATAAAATTTATAATCATATGAAATTTTAACATTAAAAAATTTTTATTTCTAGTAATACATAGTTTGTAACAGTAACTTTATATATTATTGTACTCTGTCTTCTCAAATTTTTAGGTAAAAAAAATAATTAGGTGTAGAAACTAATGTACTTTTGTATTCTAAAATCTAATTGTGGTTTTTATTAAGGAAAAAGAAAGTCATCAAAAAAAAAATGTATTTTTACGAAAGTAAATATTTTACATAAATTTCACATACTGTGACGTGCCAAATATTCTCTGTGAGAATGCTGTAAAATTTCTTTTTATGTGAATAATATATAGCTCGAAAATTCTCTATAATGTTAACTGTGAAATCTAAATACAATATGGCTGAACTAAAAAGACTACATATATTAGAGGATGGATATTTTGAATCTGGTATATGATCAAGAAGTTAGGGGTGTATTGGATTGAGATTTTAATGGATTGTTTTTAGACAAAAAAATATGTTGGTATTCAATCAGGATTTTAAACAATTGAATCACAATCTCATGGTATTCAAAAATCCGACGATTTTAATGAATTTTTTATTGTGTGAATTTCGTGAGACTTTTTAGTGAAAAATATGAATAAGATGTATCTCTCACAATCTCACCCCAACTCCTAGGATTTCTTGAGATTCTTCTATTGCAGTGTTTTCTTCTTCCATTGGTAGGTTGACTGCTTGAAATTGGGTTCCGCCACGGGAGCTTCGTCAAAACTAAAAAAAAAACATATTTTGAGCGATTTTTATCACAAAATAATCCAGAAACAACAAACCAACGAGATTTTAATATAATCTATCTCAAAAATAACATATTTTTGAGCCATTTTTGAGAAATTTTGAAAGTTTAAAAAGTGATTTTTCAAGCTATGGGTCGCGGTTTTTCTTGGCACAAAAATGCGCTTTTTGTATTAAAAATAACATAAAACAGTTAAAAAATAACAAGGGATCTTTCGTATTAATTTCGTTTTACATCAATGAAACAATATCAATTTAAAGAAAGATTGAATCTTTCATAATACGAACCCTATATTTCGTAACAATATACATTCATGAACAAAATTCCTTCACTATAGGACACGATTTCAAACAATTTTCGTGTCAATAGATAACTAAAAGATTGTTTCTCAAAAGCCCCAAAGCAAATTAAGGTTTCAATGTGTCGATTGAAAAAAATTTGAGAAATTTTCTAAACTTTCATGTAATTAAACCCAAAATTTCAGATTCAAAATTTTATATGATATATGGTTAGAAAATTTCAAAAATCCCAAGGTTTTCAAGATCGATTGCAAAAAATTCCAAACGAAATTTTATCATGAACTTTAAGTTCTATATGCAAATTTAGAATTATTTTTATAATTAAAAAAAATTGGGTCTTATAATCATATATGCATAACTTTGATACCAAATGAAGAAGATGATTTTCAACTCATTAGATATGTGAAAAGCTGTTGTTTAGTAATTTTGAATGTTTGTTAAAAATTATATTAATGTTTGGGGCAAGATATACTTACCACCAAAAAATTTTATCACCTTTACAACTAACCTAATCACCATTGATTTCCTTCAATCTAACGGTTATAATTTATTGAGAATTAATAAATACGACATAATAATTTCCAATAAATTATAACTGTTAGAATGACGAAAATCAATGGTGATTAAGTTAGTTATAAAGGTTGTAAACTTTTTTGTGGTAAATATATCCTTCCCCATTATGTTTTAATGATTGAGAAAATTATATTTGATTTTACTTTTTTTTATTAATTTCATTGTATTTCTTTGTTTTTTTTTATGGGGAAGATTATACTTACAATCTATTTTTGTCTACAACCTTTTACATCCATATCTTAACCATTGATTTCTGTCAATCAATAGTTATTATTTTCACAAATCAAACTTATTAATTAATATTTAATTTGCAATAAATGATAACTGTTGATTGACAGAAATCAACGGTTAAGATATGATTGTAAAATGTCGTAAACAAAAATAGGTTGCCTTTCCCTTTTGTATTGACTCTTTAATTTTGAATGTTTGTTAAAAATTCATATGTTTTTTCAAAATCTTATAAATCCATATTGTATTTTCAAATCTTATAAATTCTATTAAAATCCGTTAAAATCCTTTAAAATCCAATCCTATGAAATTTTGATTGTAAAAAAAATCTTTTAAGAAAGTCTATAAAGTCTTTCCAATTCTAAAATGTCATTTAAAATTTGTAGGATTTTTTATCTCAAAAAAGTCTTTTAAAATCCTAATCCAATACACCCTCTTGAGCTACTGGTGAGATTATATCAATGATTTTATATAAACTAAAATTGGGCTTGGACCTATCTGATTACAAAAAAATAAAAAAATAACATGAAGTATTTCATGTTTAATTTTCTGCATATTTGAACAAAAATAAACAGAGATGATATCCTGTGACTAGGGGTGTTAACGGGCTGAGCCGAGTCAAGCCGAGCTTTGGTCTTAAAAGGCTAAGCCTGTATTTAAATTATCTATTTTTTTTAATCTATACAATTTGTTAGGGTAAAGTTGAGTATAAGAATTTTCTTCACTCCAATCCTCACAAATTTGGATTTAACGGGGGAGTTATAAAAATGATGTGTTAAATTTTACATTTTAATAAATATAAAACGAACAATTATAAAACATATTAGGTGATTAGCCAACAAAAAAGAGGCAAAAAAAAAATTAAAATATTGCATTTTTAATAAATAATTACGAATAAGTTATTGTTTCGAACCTATTTACGGATCTATTACACTCATTCACTCCCAAATTAGGCGTGACTATTCACGCCTAAATTAGGCGTGAATCGTCTAGTGTTGACACGTGACACAAAAAAGTTAATAGTTTAACCGTAAAACTTCATAAGGCCATACATAACTTTTGACTCGGGTATCCAAATCAGATAATTCTTTTTTTTATTTCACATAATTTTTCGAGATCTACGCAATGATATCTCATTTGATATATTTTATCTCTCACAAACAAAGTTCAAATTTGCAATAATGGTAGTATAAAGATGGCACCAAAATATATTAGTCCATATAAACCCATTTCTAAGTTTGTGATACAAAACAAAGGCTGAGTCTTTATGGCTCGATTCGTTGGAAGCTTATGAATGGTTTTCAAAAATAAAATTTTTCTTTCTTAAAGACTTAGAATATTTATTTAATTATTTCCTTTATTAATACAGATCTTTCAAATTGGAGTTTGAGTTTAAATCAAAAATCAAATCTTTATTTTTGTTTTCCTTATTAATAATAATTTTTTAATTTTTTTAATTTAAATCACAAACCAAATCTTTATTTATTTTTTATATAAAAAATTAAAAAAATTGATTTTTTAATTTAAATCATAAATCAAATCTTTATTATTTTTTATATTAAATCACAAACGCAGAACTCAGAGGCTTATGGTTTAAACTCTGTTATAATATCATTATTGCAAATTTGAATTGTTTATATGAGAGATAACATATGTTAAATGAGGTGTCATTGCGTAGATCTCGAAAAGTTTTGTGGAATCAAAAGTTTTTTTATCTGATTTGGATACCTGAGTCAAAAGTTATGGCTTTCCAAAGTTTTACAGTTCGTAAGTTGACTTTTTTGTGCCACGTGTCAACACCAGACAAGTCATACCCAAATTAGGCGTGACTATTCACGCCCAAATTAAGCGTGACTAATCACGTCCAAATTAGGCGTGACTATGCGTGAATGCCTTGGGAGTCACGTCTAATTTGGGCGTGAATAGTCATGTCTAATTTGGACGTGAATGAGAACAATAGATCCGTAAATAGTTTCGAAATAACTATGTATTCATAATTATTTATTAAAATAGTGATATTTTAATTTTTTTTCTCCCACAAAAAAGATAACAAATCATTAAAGAGATCACAAAGGTTACAAATCAAAGAATGATGTACGACACCTAGGGCCTATTTGATGTGATGTATAAGGCCTGATAGCTTTGTAGTACCGACACGACACGCGACACGTGACACGACACGACACGACACGACACTCCGACACGTCAATCCTAAAAAATTATAGATTTCGACACGTTGGGACACGTTTTAATATTAAATAATATTTTTAATTTATATAGTGTATATTTCATTTAATATTTAATAATTTAACAAAAAAACGAAACTAAATTAATAATACCCATCAACACGTTATAAAGATGGAAGCTTTAATAAAAAAAATAAGAACTGGGATGAGATAGGGATATAATATCAGATAGAGAGATCAAATCATATTAGAGAGAGATCAGAGAGAAGAAGATACAACAAGAGCGTGATAGGAATTGACAACAATGATGTTGAGATGATCTCTTATCTACTTAAGGGAAAAAAAAACAAAAAGATAAAATTGATATGATCATGTGGAAGCTTTATTAATATATTTTAACTTTAAAAAAAAAAAAATTAAAAAAAAATTACGAAAATGCCATTTGACCGTGTCGGACACGGTCAAATTCGCGTGTCGGAATGGTCAACGTGTCGGAAAAAGTCAACCGCGTGTCCGACACCGTGTCGGAGCGTGTCGGACCCGACTCTTCCTGTTTTTACAAGTGTCCGTGCTTCCTTGCCTGATAGTATAAGCTTATACTATACGTTATGATATTTTCAGTTGTTTGGTGTGACCATCGTATAGTATAAGCTTATACAGCAGGATTCTTTTATACATCAAAATGATGATAACTTAATCAGGCATAGGAGTGGTGAATTAGGCCTGATAAGAGGTTGATGTATTAATATTACTTACAAATACAATTTTCAAGAACTAATATATCATTTCAATATTTATATATTAAAATAATTTTTTTTTAATATATTAATTTTTAAAATATTAGAGGATATTATCTTATACAATACCATACCAAACATCGGATAATATTAAAATTTAATCAGGTCTTATACTATCAAGTCTTATATTATCATGCCTTATCCTATACTATGCACCAAACATCCCCTAATTTGGAACAAAACATTTCCTTTTCTGTGGAAAGAGAATTTATCTTTGGCATGATATACAGTATACCCGACTTTAATGTACAAGGCATGTATGTTTAAGGAGTTTATTTAATAAATTCAAAAGTTGAAGTTCGATATGCAGCATATCTATCTAGCCTCTGATTCAATATAACAAAAAAAACTTCTCAGAAAATGGAATACTAATTGCACAGCAATGTATCACGCGTAGCATTTCCAGTTGTTGGGTTCACTCTGTTACCAGAAACAACTTCATTAAGGATGAATCATATTTAGACAATAAAACAAGCTTAATTTATAGATATAAATCTTACCCATCAGCAACTTTGCAAAGGTATTCACGTTGATCATCTCTTAGTGGCACATCCGTGAAATCTGATTCCAAGCAAGACAATAGGCAAACCATTGTTAAGTCATAGTATATGTTTCCTAACACCAAACATCAAATCTCTTGAATGAAGATGTAGATCTTCACTCTTGTGGTGCTAATATCTTGATATTAAGCTAAAATTAAGATGCATGTTTCAAATTGTAGTTAGTGTTAGTAATGAATAAAAATTCTCTTTAACGTTCTTACTATTACATATATTTTCATGTTTACATCCAAGCATACAGAGAAAACAAATTTATGCAGGTAGATTGCACTAACTTTTACACAAAACTGTACTCTTACATCTGAACTGCATGTTGAGCATGTCCAAAATTTACAGCAAATTTAATAATGATGGAAGGTAAAAAGAATATGAAGGAAAATTATTGATTCCTAAGTAATTTGCAATTACCTTTGGAATAGGCATATAGGTATTATAATCTCAACAATCATAACAACCATTTTAATAAGAGTTACTGGCATAGTATATACATAACCACAAATGTAATTCAAATAGGGCTTCCTGATTTGATTATTATTATTATTTTATTTTTTTGGAATGAGAATTAATAAAATTTGGTAATTATTCATTCTAAGAAAATGAAGATTTACTGGGGTTTGCCTAGATATAGAGGTTCCTAATCAGTAAAGATAAACTCAGGATATTTTGGTAATGAACTTGCTTCCCATTCTCTTCTTTCTCTCCAAACCTTTTCTTCATGTAGTCTTCCAATATAAGTTGATTGAAAGCCAAGATGAGTTGAATGTAAATTATCTGCCTTTAATTAAGCAAGAGACTAGGTTTCGGAACTATAGATCAGTTAATTAATCACCATTGAATACCAATATATGACCTTTAACGAGTTAAATGCTATTATCAGACAAATACAAACCTTTAAAACTATATTTCCCTTAAAAATCCAATAGTAGGATATAATATTTTTTTTTTAAGTACATAGGATGTAATAGTTAAGTGGTACTACTACATACCAGCCCCTGTGATAGTTGATCCCTTAAAAGATGTATTTCCTGTTGCAAGTGCACCTTCCAAGTTAGCATTGCTTAAATTTGCCTGCAGAAGCCAACAGAACCAAAATTGTGAAAGGGCAGAAGAAAAAATTCGTTAACTACAACAGTAGATTGAGACACCAAATGTTTTTTGTAAGCATCAAATAATATACTTCCTTTCTCATCTGATTATTTCTATATATAATCTACCATACTGTCTAATAGCAGCTGGCTAACAATTATGCTAATGATCCATGACAATATTTCCAAAATCTTGTATTTGGTCACTGCCATCATGCAAATATTTGAAGTTGAGTACAATACACAACAGAACAAAGAAAGGATTTTACATTTATAAACTGTAGCATAGTGGAGTAAGGGCGATATCAACAGGGAATAAGAAATTCATAATGGCCTTAAGCAAATGATTCCAAATTAAATTCCCATTAGATACTAGCATAATGAACACACATCACCCTATTAATAATACAGGAAAAGAGTTACCTTTGTCACATTGGCCAGGGAAAAATCTGCACTTCTAAGATCAGCATCAGAAAGATCAGCACCTAACAAAGGTGGTGAGAGAATGAATGCAAAGGGTAAATACTAAATAGTATGTCAAATGTGTATGCTACATTCATTATAATTATTTGGTGATGGCCAAACCTGTTAAATCAGCATCAAAGAAGCTAGCACCTAACAACTTTGCACCTTTAAAATTGGCTTGTCGCAGTATGGACTGTAACATGTAAGGTAAATTGTTAGACTTTGATCTAAAGCACCACATTTTGAATTACACCATCATCAAATTAACTTAAATTTAAAATATTAAAATTAAGAAGAAGAAGAAGAAGAAAATGACACCGTTTTGAAGTCTTGCTTGATCAGAGTCTTGCCACTGAAATCCTTCCCAGAAAGATCTTGTCCCCTAGTCACTCCTTGCCCATATGGACCTCCACCCTTTATTCAACATACCCATTATTCATTAACCAGGAAAAAAACTAACTTGAACAACCGGGGTTGAAATTCTCATGTATAAACTAGAAAATGACTAGCTATTTTGTTACCTTGAATGCAAGTGCGGGATCAACAAAGAATAAAGAAGCAGAGAGGAGAGCAACGAGGGTGGTGCTAGACACGGATCCACCTAATGAAAATGTGAGTTTTTGAGAGGTTTGGCGAGTTTGCAGAGGAAGATGAATTGGGGTGCTGGTGGAAAAGGAGGGACTAGAAGTTGAGAGATGATGATGATGATGATGAGGTTTAGAAGTGGAACACAATGAGAAGTTGAGAACAAGAGCCATTCTTTACAGTTAGAGATGCAAACTCACAAGGACAAACTGTGACAGCTACCATGTGGATGTGGATGTGGATGATTGGATATGGATAACGTTACTATTCAGTCACAGGATATTATCATCTCCGTTTATTTTTGTTCAAATATGCAGAAAATTAAACATGAAATGATGAAATACTTCATGTTATTTTCTTTTAATTTTTAATTTTTTTGTAAGCATAGAGGTCCAAGCCCAATTTTTGTTTCATCTAATATATATATATAAGGTTTTATAAGAGTTATGTTGTAGGAAAATTGATTGTGTAATGTTATAGAGATTTGTTTTGCGTGCCTTAATTTTTTATTTATTTTTTTGTTTTAAAAAGTGTGAGAGTATGAAAGTTTGTTGTGTTATGTCAAAGGATAAAATGAAAACCCATATATATATATATATATATATATAGCATTGTTTTTCTTATGTGGAGGAAGATAATCGATTTTTGCTGTTGATAGAAATATATATAGCATTGTTTTTCTTCTGTGGAGGAAGATAATCGATTTTTGCTGTTGATAGAAACAAGCTGGATCCCATCAGCTTTTTGAAACAATATATAGCATTGTTTTTCTTCTGTGGAGGAAGATAATCGATTTTTGCTCTTGATAGAAACAAGCTGGATCCCATCAGCTTTTTGAAACAAAAAAAAAGAGTTAGGCACGTTTTACGGACTGAGAGGAGTTAGGCTCATTTAGGAATGGCAAAAACGAGCCAATTCGACCCGAGCCAGCTTAGAAAAAAACGAGTCAACTCACAAACAGGGCTAGCTCGCGAGTTGAGTATATTTTTTGTTTTTGTAAAAAAAAAATATAATATACAAAAATAGACAAAACTCACATATATAGTCATCGTCTTTCTTCCTTCTCTAAACCTATGTCCCTAATCTTCTCACATCCATCTCATTTTTATATTGTTAGGCTGTGCTGGCTCTGTTTGGTTCAAATATCTTACCCATTCGTTAGCAAGTGGTTCTGATTGTTTATTGTGTTGGTGCAAATTTGTTGTGAAGAAAATTCGAAACTAGAATATTTTAATTTTATTTCTCATTTTGTAACCCTTTGTTTGAGCTGATGGAAGCCACATAGCCAGTGCATTAATACTACAGGTTCATTTAAATAGCTTGAAAATAAGCAACTCGCGAGCTATTTTTTCAAGTCAACCCACGAGTCATATTTTTTAGCCAACTCTAACCCGACTCGGGTCAGGTTAGATTTTCTGGCTCATTTTTTTTTCGAGTTAATCCTAACCCAGCTTGTTTTTTTCGGGTTGTATGTGGGTTGGGCCGGGTCGAGCCGGATTGGCCCGTTTTGCTAACCCTAACCTCACCCAATAGCCTAAGTTTTTAGATTAAATTAGTTTTTTTATATGGTATTCAATGTCACGGGTTTGATCTTCACCGTCTCTTATTTATTAATAATTAATTAAGTTTTGTGAAGTTTTTTAGCACAGGTAAATTGAGCTTGATGCATCATCCATCATTCAAATCCAATCAACTCTCATATGAGAGAGAGTATTAGAGTTATATAAAATTATTTGGGTTGAATTGATTTTTACATCCTCAAATCTCAATAAATAGGCACCAATCATCGTGTTTATTTATAAAGTCCCACTTGTGAATCATTTATTCATTGGTTCAACCCTTCATCCATTGATCCAGTATTCCAATCTAAACTGTCCAAATTTGATAAATGGTTGACAGAACCCTAAAATAACACTACAAGGATGAGTTGTAAGCGGTAAGTGCTGTAAGTTGGTTTAGAAACATTATGACCAACTAATAGAGTTGATTTAGTTGTAAGTGTTAAGTTATAATTGCAATCCACACATTTTGCTTAAATACAAGCAAAATAATTAAATAAACAATAATTAAGCTTAAAAACACAAAAACAGTTTTAAGGTGAACAAATTCCTTCACGTGACAAGTACAAAATTATAATTTTATAGTCGATTCAAAATTTCCACTAGCAATCAAATTGAAATACTAAGTTGTCTTAAATGGAAGGCATGATGTAAGGAAGAAGATGATGAAATTGAGAGAAGTTAGTTAGAAGAGAGAGAAAATAGGAGAGAGGGAGAATTGTCCAACAATTTTCTATGTTTTCTTCTCTTTGTATTTTCTGTATATATTCTGAGGACAATGGATTTACCATCCTAACTGTCCTATTACAAAAAGGCTATCAGCCCATGATGAAATCATTAAAATGTTTGGGCCTGGAACTAATCCGAATGGCCCTTTGATTATTGCTATTTCGTTGGGTTGGGTCTGGAGTTGGCAACCCAATAGGTGTTGCAACAATCCTTCCCACTTGAGTTGCAGCATCGTCCTCGATGCGTGATGGGCCGTTGGATGAAAGCTGATCAACGGTTGGGACAAGTCCAGTTGGGGTGGCTTCAGTCAACACAGCTGGATGGCATTGTGGAGTAGGCAAAGACCGATTGGCTGTGGATTGGACATTAGGAAGTGAACTGGCCACGTGTGTGGAAGGAAAGCAATGTCCGTGAGTGGTTGCAGTTGATGGTGTCGGTGCCGCAGAAAGCACAGAGCTTGGGACAAGATTGGAAGCCATCTCCATCACTGTAGATGCATCTTCCCAAGTACAGTCATCGAGAGGTAAGCCCTCCCATTGTACTAAAACTTGTGAGACCTCTTGGCCCTGACGCCAAATGGAGCGAGTACCCACCATAGCCAAGGGGCGGTGTAAGGGGGGTTCAGCCGTGGAAGGAAGCGGTGACGGTGGAAATGGGTTGTTGTCGTCCTTATGAAAGGGACGGAGAAGTGACACATGGAAAACATCGTGTATACGAGCATCCTCCGGAAGAGACAAGCGGTATGAAACCAGCCCTATCCTCTCTTGGACCTGGTAAGGTCCATAAAATCGCTGGGCCAGTTTCTGTGAAGACCGGCGATGTACTGACAACTTCCGGTAGGGTTGTAGGCGCAGCAGAACCCAATCTCCCACCTCAAAGGTTTTCTCTTTTCTTTTCCGATCAGCATATGCTTTCATAGCATTCTGGGATTTAAATAAATTTTCCTTTAGGGTGCTCAAAATCTGGGATCTGGTGGACAAATCAGAATCTATGGCATCAACTGTCGAAGAACCAAAAGTGTATGCCAAGATGGTAGGTGGTTTGCGGCCAAAGGTGATCTCAAATGGGGTAAGACCGGTGGAGCGATTGAAAGCTGTATTGAAGTGGAACTCAGCAAAGCTAAGGTACTTGGACCATAACTTGGGATGTGTATGTGTAAATGCTCTAAGGTATTGCTGTAGACATCGATTGACCCTCTCCGTCTGGCCATCTGTTTGTGGATGATAGGTCGTGCTATAGTGTAACGAGGTGCCTTGGAGTTTAAACAGTGTGCGCCAGAAATTGCTTAAGAAGAGTGGGTCACGGTCAGATATGATCGTGCGAGGGAAACCATGCAATTTACCAACTGAATCCCAAAAAACTTTGGCGATGTGTGCAGCTGTGTAATTGGGACGTAGAGCAGTGAAGTGGCCACCCTTGGAAAAGCGATCAACTACAACCAATATGGCTGTGAAACCATTGGAAAGGGGCAAGTGCGTGATAAAATCCATGGAAAGGTCAGTCCATAGTGAATCAGGCGGTGTGATGGGTTGCAACAAGCCGTAAGGGGCATGATTCTGAGGTTTAGTCTTTTGACACACAATACAATTCTTGACAAATTGCTTAACATCCCGTCTAATTCCTTTCCATGTGAATGTACAGGTTATACGGTGCAGTGTGGTAGTAAAACCAGAGTGACCCCCTTGAGTGGATGAGTGCATCTCATGTAACAATTGAGGGATTAATTTGGAGCCTGCGGGGAGAAAGATTCTGTTGTTGTGTAGCAAAAGTTGGCCTTGAATTCGCCATTTGGGCCAAGCATTTGGGTGCTGCTGTATGTCTTGCAGGATATTGGCAGTAAAGGGGTCCTGTAGTAACTCAGTGTACAAGGTGGTGGAGTAATTCGAAGTAGGACCAGACATCACAGCTAGGTGGGCTGGTTGGACAGAAGGTAGGCTATCTGGTTGTCTGGAAAGAGCATCCGCAACCACATTGGTTTTTCCAGATTTATACTGTATGGTGAAATTGAAGCCCAGTAACTTGGCCAGAAATAGCTGCTGTTCTGGGGTTTGTACCAATTGAGCTAAAAGGTGATGAAGACTGCGATGATCAGTTCGAATGATGAATTGAGACCCCAATAAGTATTGTCTCCACTTGGCAACTGCCGCAGAAATGGCAAACATTTCGCGGACGTAAGTAGATTTGTTGTGCATGGTAGGGGAGAGTTTCTTACTGAAAAATGCAATGGGATGATTATTCTGGAGAAGCACAGCACCCACACCAATACCCGAAGCATCTGTTTCGACAATAAACGGAAGTGAAAAATCCGGTAGCGCCAAAATAGGGGCAGCAGTGATTAAAGCCTTTAATTTGTCAAATGCTTCCTGTGTGGCTGCCGACCAAACGAAAGCTGTTTTGCTCAATAAATCAGATAAAGGGGCAGCAACCAAGGCGTAGTGTTTGATGAAGCGTCTATAGTATCCGGATAGGCCTAAAAAGGCTCGGATATGTGTCTGAGATAGAGGCAGTGGCCAATCAACAATGGCTTGGATTTTCTGAGGATCAGGTTTAACCCCCTGGCCGGATATGATATGCCCCAAAAAGTGGATGGAATGGAGTGCAAATGAACATTTGGACAGCTTTGCATACAAGGAATTGCTTCGCAGTGTTTGCAATACTTGGAATAAGTGGTGGACATGATCCTGTAAGGATGCATTATATACCAAGATATCATCAAAGAAAATGACAACAAAACGACAAAGAAATTCAGAAAAAACCTCATTCATTGTAGCTTGGAATGTTGATGGGGCGTTAGTGAGGCCAAATGGCATTACGACAAACTCGTAATGACCCTTGTGTGTTCTGAAAGCGGTCTTGTTGATGTCAGCGGGTTCCATTAATATCTGATGGTAACCGGAGCACAAGTCCAACTTTGAAAAAATGGTAGACCCATGTAACTCGTCCAACAATTCATCAATAGTCGGAATGGGGAATTTGTCCTTTACCGTGACTGTGTTGAGAGCCCTGTAATCAACACAAAAACTCCAGGTACCATCTTTCTTTTTTATCAGTAGAACCGGTGAACTAAAAGGAGATTGACTGGCCCTGATCAGTCCTCCTGCCAACATCTCCTTTACCAACCGCTCAATCTCATTTTTTTGAAAATGAGGGTATCGGTAAGGACGAACCTGAATGGGTTTAGTGTCTGGTTGGAGGACTATCCTGTGGTTAAAGGTACGGTTTGGTGGCAGTGTAGGAGGAAGAGCAAAAACATCACTAAATTCTTGTAACACTTTTTGAATTGCAGGTTCCTCAGTACAAGCATTCGGTTGCTGGTTGCTGTTGGAAATCACAGGGGCAAGGCTATGGAGGAAGTAATAAAGCACATATGACATGAGGATACTGAATTCTGAGCCACTAACCGATGCAATTGAGCTGGAGAAATGGCAGCTGGGTCCAAGGACAGTGTCCCTTGGAGTAGCACGGTGGAATTGCCCCGGGAGAAAGACATTGTAAGCTGATGGTAATCAGTGATGATAGGGCCAAGTGTGGCCAACCACTGCACTCCAAGGACGATGTCAGCCCCTTTGAGATCAATTACAAACAAATCCACGTGGAACAACTCAGTCTGTAACAACAGTGGTACATGTGTGCATTGAGCAGAGCAGAGCAGGGTGTCCCCATTCCCAACCTGGACCGTGAATGGTGGAATGGCTTGCATTGTCAAATGGAGAAAAGAAGACATCCTAGGTGTAATAAAATTATGGGTACTACCCCCATCAATGAGGACTTGAAGTGGTTTACCCGAAATGGTACCTTGCAACCGAAAGGAACGTGAATTGCTATGACCGAAGAGAGCATGATAGCTGATTTCGGGTGGAGGGTCTGATGATTCAACAGTGGGGTGTATGGTGTCACTATCCTCGCATATTGCAGTATCCAGCAATTCGGTATCATTTCCATCTATGTATAATAGAGCTGGTTTATTTTTGCATTTATGCCCAAAATGGTATTTCTCCTCACAAGTGAAACAAATATTTTTGTCTCTTTTGGCTTGAATTTCTGCAGGGGATAATCTTTTGAGAGGAATGGCAGCAAGAGGTGAAGCATGGGGAACCGGAGAAGGAACCGGTAGAGCAAGGCCCTTTGAGGGTGTGGTAGATCTGGGAATCCACGGTTTGAAGGAACGTTCCAAATTGAGTTGGTCCTCATATACACGTGCAAGGGCAAAAGCGTGATGGACATCAACCGGTCGATGAGGAATGATGGAGCTGCGAATTCTGGGTTTAAGGCCAGAAATGAACATGCTCTTGGTGAGAGCTGGTGATAAGCCAGGGACACGACTAGATAGTCGTTCAAAAGACGTCTGGTAGTCTTGGACTGTGGCTGTTTGGTGTAACTTGGCAAGGAAGGAAGCTGGGTCTTTGAATTCCGTAGGCCCAAAACGTTGATTGATGGCCAGGACGAATGCATTCCACGTTGGGATAATACCATCACGAGACATACCCTGAAACCAACTGGCAGCAGGGTCATCTAAATGGAAGGAAGCCAGTAAAAGCTTGTCTGGTTCAAGGGTTTGATAATAGAGAAAATAACGTTCCACTGAAAAGAGCCAGCGAGTAGGGTCACCACTTGAGAACCGAGGAAGATCTAAACGTGGGGAGCGGCCACCAGGACCTGGGCCCAAGATACCCTGTGGTCTGCCATGGTGATGAGCTAATCCATTGTTGGGTTGTTGCTGAAGACGTCGCTCTAAATCAGTGCGCATATCCTCAAAACGTTCTGTTTGTTGATTTTCAATTACATTAAAACGACGGTCATGGGCCATCTCCCAGGCAATAAATTGCTGGGTAGTGGTAGCCTCATTCGTTTGAAGACGAGTCTCAGTAGCTTGCAATAGTTGACGGATTTCAGTGAGTTGATTTTGAAGATCTCTCATCCTGGTATTGTCAGCCATAGGAGGAGATGCAGCAATGAAAGCACCAGATTGTAAGGAAGAAGATGATGAAATTGAGAGAAGTTAGTTAGAAGAGAGAGAAAATAGGAGAGAGGGAGAATTGTCCAACAATTTTCTTTGTTTTCTTCTCTTTGTATTTTCTGTATATATTCTGAGGACAATTGATTTACCATCCTAACTGTCCTATTACAAAAAGGCTATCAGCCCATGATGAAATCATTAAAATGTTTGGGCCTGGAACTAATCCGAATGGCCCTGTGATTATTGCTATTTCGTTGGGTTGGGTCTGGAGTTGGCAACCCAATAGGTGTTGCAACACATGAACAATTAATTACACAACTCAAGCATAGATTGTACTATAGTAACTATATAATGCAAAAAGTTGTTGTCCGAAATCTTTTTCTACCAAAAAAAAATTCCAATCAAAATCCAACAGTCATATTAGAGAATGACAAGTGAGGAACAAATAAAAGAAATTTGAGGATGACTAAATGATCGATCAAAGATATATCCCTTTTTAATCTCACTGCCCAAAAATACTAATCAGTTACAAATAGAAACAAATCGGATATGGAGTTTCTAGGACCTCCTCAACAAATACACCATTAGGAATTAAGATTGATAAATCTTGAATATATTATAAAAATTTCAGCTCAATCTGCCGATAAACGGAGGAGATCTTGAAGATGAACATTTGTATTGTGGCTGCTCTCTCTTCTTACCTTGCAATGTGGCTGCTGGATATTTCTTTGGCAAAGAGGGAACCCTAATTTTCCTTATTGAGTTGGACGGGCTTATTAAGTGAAAAATAGCCCAACAACTTGCAGATGAAGGGGATTTTTCAATCAGAGACCAGGTTTAGTAACGAAGCAGCACAGTTTAAAGAATGTGAGTCAACCAAATGATGAAAGCTGTTCGCGCCAGAGAACTGAACAGTGGAGTGAAAGCATGTGTTCGATTCTTCCAGTATTGTCTTTGATAAGAGTTTAAAACTTTAATCCTGAGACCTGTCATGAATCGCACTAGTCGAACTTTATGTTACAAAGTCATACAATTTTCAGCGCAACTTATTTGATTGCTTCAAAGTTTCTCAATATTCATGAAAAGCACCTTCTTTGGCTAGTTTGATTCTCATTGCACATGTTGATGGAGCCATTAAATAATATTTTAACTATTCGGTGGAGTAAATGATCTTTACTTTACATGTAATGTTTTGCTTTCATGGATCTAACCTAGGCTCTTTCCATAATAGTCATGGTGCCCTTACTTAAATATATTAAATTTCTTGCCATAATAGCCCAAGTTGCCATTAAATAAATATATTTTTTGACATGTGCATTCTGCAAAAAGATAGGGTCTTGATCTCGATGAATGAACATACATATCTAATCACAGCATCAAAATATGCCTTTTGACCTTTTTTGAATGAGAACACAGTGAGAAGTGAGTGGAAAATGGAAGAAGCACATAGTAGCATTAACAGAGGACCAAGATGGTCTCTCAATGGATTGACAGCTCTTGTCACTGGTGGCACCCGTGGGATTGGGTTTTCTTTTTCTTCTTCTCAATACATTTCCCCATTTTATTATTATTATTATTATCTTTCTCGATCATTCATATTGGTTTATTCTGATTGATTCATTTGAAACTGTGTGTTCAGGCATGCCATAGTGAGTGATTTAGCTGGATTTGGTGCTGCTGTACACACTTGTTCTAGGACCGAAGAAGAGCTTAATAAGTGCTTACAAGAATGGAAAAGTCAAGGCTTTCTGGTTACTGGGTCGGTTTGTGATGTGTCCTCTCGACCCAACAGAGAGAAACTCATTCAGGAAGTGGCCTCCACCTTCAATGGCAAACTTAACATCTATGTAAGTACTCGTAGTGCTATGCATATAAATGAGTTATAGAAAGCCAATAGATTAAAAGTATGGACCTATGTAGAAGATCATTACATCTAGAGTTTAATTTTTATTTCACTTTTATGTTTAAATCTTTTGTACATTATCATATAATCATGTAGTATCACATCATTATTAGAAAAACTTAGAATTAACATATGATTGGAAGATAGTAAAGAGGTTGGGCTGTGGTGTGGATGATGAGCAGCAAAACACACTGAAGTTTGATTTTGACTGTGGAGAGCTAAAAGAAATACGGGTATTTAGAAGAACTATAATATTACTAAAAGGGAAATTCACTCCAGTTCCCGCAAAAGTTACCATTTAATTTCCTTTCAACTTGATCCATTGAACTTAAAAATTATTTGTAGTGCTCGTTGGGAATGGTACGTGGAGCCTAAAACCCTTTACAAAGATTTTTCCATCAATTGATCAAGCAATAAACCATAATAAATGGGCCAACACCACATCTCAATCCAAAATCTTAAAGTGATAAATTTATGGGTCTTTTGTATTTATACGGTGTTCACTTGGTTCAAATTTAGCCGATGTGACACTTCTTTATTTATAACTCACTTGAATATTTCAAACAGTGCTAACATAGGACTAGGATTGCTTTTATTTATAAAAGTGGATCTGTCTATACAGCAACATGCACGACTTGTTTTCCCATAACAACTAAAGTGTTGCCCCGTCACCACATCTATTTTCTTACAATTTATACATTTTGTGTACCTATTCTGAAGGACTTGATTAGAAATGTTCTAGTTGATCAGTGTTTAGAGTTGCGGTTAACAACAAACTGTTTCTCGCTTGATTTTCATAGCTTATTGAATTCATTCATTGGAGCTAGTTAATCATTCTCCAATATCATTGATGATATTTTTATTAAGGCTTTAATGTTTCTACAGTGAATGCAGATAAGTTATCTACATTCATTTCTAAAATGACGTCGTTTTGGGTTGAAAGATTAAAAAATTATAATTATAAATATTGTTATAATCTTGGAATAAATTATAATTACAAAAATACCTTGATTTCTGCCTTAAAATAACGTCGTTTTGAGTTCAATGCAGATAATTTTTCTGCATTCACTGCAGAAAAAACGAACCCTTTTAATAAATACATTGTTTATAGCCACATTTGTTTCATTTAGTAGACTTGAACAGTGTGTGCAAATGCTCCTTATGTGAGATTTTAAGCATCCATCACAAATTAATGACTCGCTTTGAAAGTAGTCTCCTTCCATCTAATTTACCTGTTGTGAATCATACATATGCATGACTTTGTGCTTTAGGTAAACAACGTTGGAACAAACTTTCGAAAGCCATCCATTGAGTACACTGCTGAAGAATATTCCGAGCTGATGACAGTTAATTTAGACTCTGCATTCCATCTGTGCCAACTTTCTTATCCTCTTCTAAAAGCATCTGCAATGGGAAGCATTGTGTTCATTTCGTCTGTTGCAGGTGTGGTGAGCTGTGGTACTGGATCTGTCTATGCAGCAAGTAAAGGTGAGTACTATACTCATAGGTCTTTTCTTTCATGTAGATGTGATTAATAAAATGCTAGTACAAACAAAGAGAGACAATTTTAATTTGTCCACTGAATTTTCAGCTGCAATTAATCAGCTCACAAAAGATCTGGCTTGTGAATGGGCGAAAGACAACATAAGGAGCAACAGTGTTGTACCATGGGCAACCAGAACCTCACTTGTAGAACATGTAATTTTCTTGTTCCCTATCTTTATTTCTTCTGGCTGTTTTCCTTTCTACAAAAGCCTTTACTTTGTAGACAAGGCATTACCTAATCATCCATATCCTGCAGCATTGGGGAAATGTTTGTAAGAAGCACAGAATTAATTATACTACTTTCATAACTATACAAAGAAGAGATTTTCAATTGACATTCATCATGTTAAAGAACCTTGGGATACACCATCCCAAAAGCTAGCTCTAATACCATGTAAAGAACTTTGGGATACACCACTCCAAAAGCTAGCTCAAAGGGTGGGAGTGCCCAAGGCCTTATAAACTCCACATTAGTTGCTCTTCAACCAATGTGGGACTATATATCTCAACACGCCCCCTCACGCAAGAGCCCTCTTGGCTTGAAGCGTGGATTATGCAACAAGCCCAATCTTTGGTTTACCTTTTTTGTGCTTCCACTTTAAAGTGGGGGGCGGTGAGGATCTAACCTCAAGCTCTGATACCATGTTAAAGAACCTTGGGATACACCACCCCAAAAGCTAGCTCTGATACCATGTAAAGAACCTTGGGATACAAAAGCTAGCTCTGATACCTTTCCCCACTTTCTCTTGTGGAATTTTCTTAGCACAGGAGTAGGCATGTGCATTATCCACCCTTCAAGTCCAGTGAACTCTCGTGTGAGGGGGCGTGCTAGAGTATAATATAAACCATTAAAGAGGCCCTCACCCAACAGCTTAAGCTTTTGGGTTGAATTAGTTCTTTACACGGTATCAGAGCCTCGTGAGCCTCGTGTCCCGGGTTCGATCCTCACCGCCCCCCACTTTAAAGTGGAAGCACAAAGAAAGGTAAACTAAAGATTGGGCCTGTTGCATAATCCACGCTTCAAGCCAAGAGGGCTCTTGCGTGAGGGAGCGTGTTAAGATATAGTCCCACATTGGTTGAAGAGCAACTAATGTGGAGTTTATAAGGCCTTGGGCACTCCCACCTTTTGAGCTAGCTTTTGGGGTGGTGTATCCCAAGGTTCTTTACATGGTATCAGAGCTTGAGGTTCGATCCTCACCATATATAGTCTCACATTGGTTGAAGAGCAACTAATGTGGAGTTTATAAGACCTTGGGAACTCCCACTCTTTGAGCTAGCTTTTGGGGTGGTGTATCTCAAGGTTCTTTACACATCATAAACTCCACCAAAATAATTGCATGATGTAAAGAACTAATTCAACCCAAAAGCTTATCCTTTGGGGTGAGGCTACATTAATGATTTTATATATCTCAACACGCCCCCTCACACGAGAGTTCACTGGGCTTGAAGGGTGGACAATGCATAGGCCCACCTACCTGTGCGAAAAAAGAAATTCCACTAGAAAGAAAGTGGGGGGCGATAAGGATCGAACCCGCACATGACATATACAATGAACTCCTAAAATTAGAAACAATTTACATGTCTAATAATACTAAACCACTAGCTAACCCAACATGCTGAAGAGTTTAGAATCTTTAAGGGCTGCTTGTCCATTGATGGATAATTGAATTATTTTGGCTATCAAGTGTTTCCTGTCATGTCCACCGAGGTTTTGAATTCAGCAGTTATAAAATTTTGCTACTTAAAAATTTTATATCCCAGTGCCTCTTTTATGGATCGCTGTGCTATTGGTAGATTAACATAAAGTTAGTGTTTATGTATTTGATTGTGTTAAATTTTGTTCTTTCATTGAAATGCCACACGGTAGTTTCTGAAGTCAATATTACAGAGCCAACGTAGCAGAATTTTGTAGCTTTTGTGATTGGAAATTATGTTTATTATATGAGATGATGGACTTGTGCATTATCAACCAAGTCTTTTCATTCAATGTTCTCACAATAATTCAATATTTATTAGAATTATGGAAAATCTTGTGTTCGATTCAACTTTTTTTTTTTTTGTAGCTGCTAGGTAACCAAGAGTTTATGGATGGTATTACGTCTCGAACTCCTCTTAAGCGCATTGCAGAACCAGAAGAAGTGTCGTCGTTGGTGACTTTCCTTTGTTTGCCTGCTGCCTCTTACATCACTGGACAGGTTATTTCTGTTGATGGAGGATACACTGTGAATGGATTTCAACCCAGCATGAGAATTACCTAAAATTCTTTAACTGCTCATCTATGGAATAAATTATTCTCATTTTATTTCTACTCCCTAGTAGTTAGCTATGTATGTGACAAGGGACAACCTTGATCTGTAATTTCATCTCTTTTTTTTTTGGTACAAGTCATTTCTCTCTTTTAGTTTCAAATGAGAATGGCTGGTCCTATGTAACTCAGGAACTGCTTATATCATAAATGGAGGGTACTATTTAATTACTTTTATGGCTTTCTCTTTCATAATATATGCCCCTCTCCTGTTATTAACAAGATAAGATCTGATCCCAGCATCCAGTCAGAAAAGCATCTACAAATATGGATTAGGGGATTCAATTTACATTTTGGTTACTCTATAAATTTTGTTTGTAACTAAAATGACACTCGAATTTGTAGATGTTCTATCACACGAACTGAATTTTCTGAAGCACAATTATGATGATACTTTTTGTGACTAAAAAAATATGAAGCATTCTAAACTTCATGATGCTTGAAAGTGAGATTTTGAATTCGGACATGATTCTAGCTGACACCAAGTTTCAACCCAAGGCATCAAGTTTATTAGTGCTTTCGGTTATAAGCTCTTTGTTTAGCTCATTCTTTTCCGGGACTTTAAATTTTCAACCATTATGATACTAACACTCTGATTTCTCAACCGTTATGCTTTGTATGATTTGTTTGAATGTAATGTAAGGACAGGATTGAAGTATAAGACTTGTCTTTGTTTGAAATTTTAAGGTTTTTTCCAGTTAAGGTAAAAGGAGTAGAAAATGTTTTTTTTAAATGTTTTTAAAGGGAGAATGTTTTTTTTCCAGTTAAGGACAGGTTTTTTTAAATTAAAATAATGGAAAAACAACTTTGATTCCACATATTTTAACTCTATCTCTGAAATAAGGAGAACATTTCTCATTTTCTTACTTAAAAGTTTCCTTCTACCCTTTTTAAGACAAACTTTAAATAAAGTTTCTTATTATAATGTACTCGTTTGTGTGTCATTTATTTATTTTTTAGTACAAGTACCCATCGATGATCCCACATGTTCGACTTTTAGAGTGAATTAATCCAATATTGGGGGAAGAGAGCAATTAAGCATTCTCCCTCCCAACAAATGCGTTTATCAAATTTCAAACTTTGCATTCTCAACCTTACGGTTACGAGGGTCTTGAGCTGCTACCATATGTGGCTAATACCTTGTTATTTTATTTGTATGTTATTTTTTACACTGTAATTATGAAAATTTTAAAAAAGAAGACAGACAGTTCAAAAATAATAAAAATATGATATTTTTATTAGAAAAATAGTACTAAAAGAATTGTATTTTTGTTTTATTCTTTTCCTCTCCTCATTCCTTCTATTCTCATACTTTCCCCCCCTCAAATTTCTAATCATGACATAGATAATAAAATACAAAGGTTCATCACAAACGTATTTGTTATAAGCTCTGGGCTGATGTGAATTCTTCTATACTTGCAATGATAAAATGAAACGCAATATTTCCAGCAAAGAATAATAGCATATCTTAATATCAATCATTTTTTATTTTTTTTATTTTTTTTAAAGAACATTCATTCTCTTCTTCAAATCAATCATTTCTTGCTCACTTAACTACATCTCCTCTCGTCAAATTTTCACTTTTCGTTAGTTGTTGTTATTATTATTATTTTTTCTAATAAATCCTTAAATATAGTTCTTAAAAAAATGAGTAAATACATTTTTTAGTCTTCGGACAAATTTAACGATGTCTGCTTTAGTCGCTAGCAAATAAAAAGGTTATTCGTAGTCCTAAGAAATTCAAAATGGACCAATTTAGTTGAAATCATGATCCTCACAAATTTAAAAAAATTCACATTAGTCTCTCGAAATGATTAAAATGGGTCCACTTTGAATTTATTAGAGACCACGAATAGCCTTTCTATTTGCTAGAAACTAAAACAGGCATCATAAAATTTGTTGAGGATCGAAAAGGATATTTACTCTGAAAAAATATAGTGATAGTAATATTAAATTTACTCAATTTTTGTTGGAGGAGATTATACTTATTATTTCTTTTTTTTTATTACTTCTTGTTACTAAATTTTAACTGTTGATTTTTGTTAATTTAATGGTTGTAATTTATTAGATCATACTTATTAATTAATTATTAATTTTTAATAAGTTATAATTGTTGGATCGAGAGAAATTAACGATTAAAATTTTACTAAGTACTGACAAAACAAAAATTAACAAGTATAACTTCTCCCATTTTTGTTTACTTTTTCGTGAGTATTATAGACATGTTGTGTAATGTGTAATGACTTTTGAAAAAGAGGAATTGTGTTGAACAAATTGCAAACAAATGAAATGGCAGCTGCAGAGAGCATTCCCAACAGAGCTTCGAGATGGTCCCTTAACGGAATGACTGCACTCGTCACCGGTGGAACTCGTGGGATTGGGTCAGTTTCTCTCTTTTCTTTTTCCTTGTTTGGAAAGATAGTATTTTGATTCATCCCCATTTGAACTGTGGCTATAAAGTTTCTACCTTTGGCTATAAAAATTTGATATTTTTTGGTCTGAAACTGTGTTCACTTTTCAGGCATGCCATAGTGGAGGAGTTATGTGGGTTTGGTGCCACTGTCCACACTTGTTCCAGAAACCAAGCAGAGGTAAATAAGTGCTTAGATGAATGGCGGAAAAAGGGCTTTTTGGTTTCTGGGTCAGTGTGTGATGTGTCATCTCAAGTCCACAGAGAGAAACTCATTCAAGAAGTGACCTCCATCTTCAATGGCAAGCTTAACATATATGTAAGTTTAAGTCCCTATTCCCAATACTGAAAAAAGAAACATCACTAAGAATCACAATTTAGAGAGATTTTATATCTTTAAACTTGTCATTGATCATAATGCTTCCACCTCCTTACATAGGTGAACAATGTTGGAGCAAACTTTAGGAAACCAACTATTGAGTACACTGCTGAAGACTACTCAGAAATTATGGCAATCAATTTAGACTCTGCATACCATCTGTGCCAACTATCACACCCTCTTCTAAAAGCATCTGGAATGGGAAGCATTGTATTCATTTCTTCTATTGCTGGCGTGGTGAGCTTAGGTACTGGATCTGTCTATGCAGCAAGTAAAGGTGAGCTATCTATCATATCTTATTCATTACTAATTACTTGTTTAACTAGCTTATAACAAAATGTAGAGTGATCAAGTAAACTTAATGTTTACTGTACAATGCTATTTTCAGCTGCAATAAATCAGCTTACAAAAAATCTGGCATGTGAATGGGCAAAAGACAGCATAAGGAGCAATTGTGTTGTTCCTGCGACTACCAATACTCCACTTGTGGAACAGGTAATGTTCTTGCTTCCTATTTTTATTGGAGTTAATTGCTACCTTTAGGCTGAAGGATTCAAAAATAGGATTACTAGATTGAGACATTGACTATCCTGTTCACTCAATAGGACTTGGAAAACATCTCTAGTGACCTACCATCCCCGCCAAGGTTTTCGGTTATAAACTTACGCTAGAGGGAAAAAAAAGACAAAGATAATAGCTGGCACACTTGTTACTTAAGATTGAATTGAATCTGAACATGTTATATTAATCTGCTGCAGTATTACACATTTTCACTACAATACTACACTCCAACAAAGTTCATTTCTTCAATGCTGACTATATTAGGCCTCTGTTTCATAAATATCTCATAGACTCTTGTGATGCTCAACCCTCTAGTTATTTTCTGTTGAAATCTGAAATTTTAAATGGGATATTAATACTATTGGTGTGGTCACAAATTCAGTTCATCCTCCAATCTCGGTACATGAAAATTAACTCATTGTCAGATCTCTTCTGGAATATTGTAAATTGTAGTCCATTGGAATTTGAAAATACTACTAACCTATCCAATATTAGTATGATTATTCAACAGCATGTTATGATCATCAAGATTTTGCTCAACATTTTGAGAGAAAAATCTCACACAAATGTACTAAGAGCTACTGACCCTCCTCTCATGTTTCTTCCGGTATATTTTGTGAAGTCTCTAATACATTTGACTTCTTGGTATGTATTTCTGCTTGTTTTAAATAACACACAGGCATGCTCATATTTGTTGAAAACTTAAAACAGTATCTTCTTAGTTAATAGTGTTTATTGTACATAGCTGTATTCTTGTACTAAAACTGTAAAATACTAGCACTACGTTAGGCTCCCTAAGTTTAAGTTGTATCATAGAAAGAGTTGGAAGGGTAGCTATGGATTTGATTGATTCCCATGGAGGTAGTGTGAAAGGTGTAACCTCCTGTTACTACCCACTGCACATGTGGCAGTAGGGGGCATTGAAAGCAAGGGAGGGATTAAGATATAAGAGAGAAGGAGGGAGGGAAAACAAAAAGGTATAAGAAAGAAGTGAGTGGGGAAATGGTGGGACGGTGGGAGACACCAAGCCTCTATTATTTCCTGGGCTATCAGTGTTTCCTTTTCGTTTTTAGATAGAAAAGAAAAAGATGAAGAAGAAAAATCAATGGTCTTCAATCTTCAAGTTCTCCGGAATCCTGGTCTCTGGTCTCCAGCGTGAGTCTCCTCCTCTGAATATTGTTGCCTCTGTCGAATTGTGTTTTTGAGTTTCCAAGAGATGCCTTTTTATAGGGATGAAACCATGTCTTTTAATTTTCCATACTATCTTCAATGGAATCTTACTATATAATCTCTAATCATATCTTTGATCCAATCCTTTAAATCTTCCCCTTTTTATTTAATGGAAAACTTTCCTTAAAATATTCAAATGAAGATTTGATAAGATCTTGAATGATTCAGAAATTCAAAGCAATCTACTTGATCTCTCCAATTTATCTCTTTATTGAGCTGAAATTTACACCAAAATATAAGAAATCTTATGAGAATATTATTGAAAATAAAATAACAATTTAATTATAATTCTCATAACTTTTAATTACTTTTAATTCAAATTCATTCTCATATTGACCCTTAATACATAGTAAATTAGAGACTCATCAATAGTAAATAATACAAGAAGAATTCCATATCCTTTTATTCCAGTTTTATCTGTGATGTACAACTTGATTTAAAATTACAATGGCATCTGAATTTGGCAACTTCTACAAATGTGATTGACTTGATATACCATCAAGACTTCCGTTTGAGGGCTACCACACTTTCTGTTAAATAAATTACCTAATTACAAAACTAATGATCTGTGTAATAGGAATAATACATTCTGAAACATGGTGAAAGGAATGGTCTTAAAATTCATTGTTGGCTTAAAGATCTCACTTATCTTTATTCATCTAGAATTTGTAGCTGTATAGTTGTTACATTGTCTAGTTAAGCTTCAAGACAAGATTTCAGAGTGCCTTAAAGATAGGAATGCATGGATCTTGAGAGTCCAGACTTGGGGGTAGAAGCTATGCCTGAACTCGATTTATCACAACTGAGGAGCTTTGTCATGATGTCTGTTCACATTTGTTGAAATTTTGTTTTTAGACTGATGCAACATTTTTAATAAACTTTGAAATAAATACTGCTTTTTTGGCTGGGGGACAACGATTCTTGTTCATTGTTTTCTACTGTGATAGCTGCTTCGCAACAGGAAGTATGTAGATGAAATGTTGTCTCGAACTCCTCTTCGACGAATCGCAGAAGCTCAAGAAATTTCATCCTTGGTGGCTTTCCTTTGTCTGCCTGCTGCCTCTTATATCACAGGACAAGTTATATCTGTTGATGGCGGATTAACAGTCAATGGATTTCAACCTAGCATCAGAATAACATGACATTCATGTACTTCTCAATTTATTGTCAATCATCTTTGGAATAAAGAATTTTCATTATTTCATTTCATTCCTTGTGGTTTTGCTTTGCACAGACCATCATGGAACAGGTTATTTCTGTTGATGGAGAACAAACAGTTGATGTATTTCAAGCCAACTTAAGAATAACATAACATTCAAGTTCTTCTAAGAAGATTATTTGTTGAACATCTTTGAATAAAGGATCTCATTCTTTCAAATAATTTTTATTTTATTTTATTTTCTAAGAAGTTATGCGAATAATTGATATGCATTTTCTCATTTTTATCTTCTAATAAGTTATGGGCATAATTTATATGCATTTTCTTCTGCTGTGTGTCTGTGGGATTGGACTAGTGATTAGACTCTTTGGTAAAAGGACCACCATGTGCCTGAGGTATCGGATTCGGGATTGGACTCTTGGTTATAACGATCATCATGTGCACCAAGCAACAAAAATTGTTTAAATGAGTATGAATGGGACTGGACTAGTGATTGGACTCTTGGTTATTGGAATTTTTTTTATCAAGAAACAGTGTGTTGGGTTGCCTTTGTAATTGAGATATGGTATTTTCACACCACTTTTCAGTTACAATAACAAAATCTTAATTTCACATACGCCTTAATGCTGCGTATGTCAAGTTTTTCTATTGGAAATTGCATTCAAACCTTACTTTTAACATTTTAAGTTCAGATAGTTCAGCTAGATAGAGTAGCAATAGTTTTCAAGTTGGGAATTAGTCAAAGCAGACCTGGATAAATCATTTTGATGGACTAATAGCTGTAGAATATTTACCACGGGAACAGGTTAGAATAATTTTTTTTAAATTCAAATGCCTCTCATAAGGTTTCCTTCACAGTTATTCTTATTTTTATTATTTCATTAAGATTTACCTAAATGCCATTAAAAAATTATATAAACTATTCATTTTGTCTTTTATTTGTTATTTATTATACCTTTTATCCTTCGTTCCATGACTTTCATACTAATAGACAAAGATTAAACCAACCAAATCTAATAAATTTTCATTTTTTGATTATTATACTTGAAAATTGATCATACTAAGTTTATTTTTTTTAATGACAGAATATGCTTACATCAATCAAGTGAACGTGCATGCGCACATGCACGCACACACAATTGCACAGGGACAATATGAGAGGTATTTCAATTTTATCTTTAATTATGCTTTTAGCACAAATGACTCTTGCGTGAAGAAGAATATTAAAGAAATATAGTATAAAAATTATTAACGTGCATTCTCGCTTAATCTTTTGGGTGAAATAATTATTTATCAATTATATACTATTAAAAATTATTTCTTCTAAATTCGATAAACAAATAGGTAATGCTACATAGCATTTGAGTGCATAGTGCTCAAGTTTCTGTTTCCCACAATTTTCTTTTTAATTTTAGTTGTGCATCTGTGTGCAAATCTATGTTTTCATTTTCATATCAGATTTAGGTGGTGTAAGCATATTCTATCGTAAGAAAAATTATTATCATAAATTTTTAAAAACAATAGCTAATAAGTGAAAAATTTCATAATAATAATATCAGTGACCAAAAATTAAGCACTAGTTTCTTCATTGTATGACACGACATCATGGATGTTAAGAAACAAGAAACGTTGTCTTCATGTATACAATTCTTGGCAAAGCATAAAGTAGAGACCTGGTTTTTGTTGTTCTTTTATATTATGAGCAGTTTTGGGTGAGCGCCAACAGTATATACGAGTATGCTGATTGCGATGCAAGTGCAAATGCAACTTTATTCAGCATCATGCACGCGTCTTTCCAAGTATTAATTTCAGGAAGAAGAGGTGCCATTTGCTGAAGGTGTAGTTGATTCATATTGCGGCTACTAAATCACAGGGTGTGTGATGCAACAAAAACCATCTCAGGCATGTCTTGCGCGTGTCATATGATTCTCTATAGCTAAACATGCACCAAAAACAACCTCAGGCATGTCTTGCGCGTGTCATGTGCATTTCCATAGCTAACCTTGCCACGTACCTCTGTCAGTGCAATAGCTGGCTATGATCACACAACCATGATACTTCAATAAATTGAAACCAGGTTATAACGTTAGAGACATACAAGATATTTTGTCTCTGTCTTATATTTTATGTCTTTAACCGTTTGAATTTTTTTTGAAACACTTGTGTCACGAGTTGCAACATCTATATAGCTGACGTTTGATTCCATTGTCTCGAGAGCCAAGTTTGCTATCCAGAACCAAATTCAAATTAAGATTAAAGTTCTTATGCATATATTATATTATATCTTGATTTTGTTTCTGTCATATTCTCATAGGATGAGTAAATGAGGGTTGGTTGTAGTATATATGTAGGAATGAACAGATGAGAAATTTTAATGCATTTTGACACTATTATTTTAGTACTTTTACCATATTGATAATATGCATGTCATCAAATTAAGCTTAAAATATATTGTATATTTTAATTAAATCTCACCTGTCATGTTATCAAAAAAAAAATCTCACCTGTCAAGAATGTTTATTTTAGAGTACTCAAGTAAAGTTTTTGAATTTGAATTTTACTAACTGTTTTTTTATTGATGATTAATTATGAAAGTACTATTATAATAAGTTCCAAGTTTGCATTTTATAGTGTTGTTGGGACTTTTGCTAAAGTTATAAGACTTTTTAATAAATAAAAAATGAAAAGTAATGGACAAAAAGTAAAGTAAGAGAAAATGAGAAGATAATTAAATTTTTATTTGGTTACTGATACTATTTTAGTTAGTATGTATTTTTTAAAGTAAAATAAATATTTAAAATTTAAATGTATAAATAGATAAGTGTAAGTAATAATTTTGTTGACTAATTAAAGAGAAAAACCATTAAGAAATAATATAAATAAACAAATAAAAACTTAATAGTCTCACTCATGTAATGAATATTTTAGTTCTTGAAATATACTTATTATTTTAAAATTAATATTGTTCCGATATGATAAATCAAAATGTCCAACCTAATGGTTGGTATTTTTTGGTGGATCTATATGCTCTCTTTAAGGTATTTATAGGAGAAATACCCTAAAGATCAGTGGATTACTGTACACTATAATAAACGGCATAGCCAAATGGTGGGGGATGTGCACAGTAACATCTAAGAGAGAGGGAATCTAGAATTTGTGTATCTTATTGACTTAACCCCTTATTTATAGATAAATTACTTAGCATAAAGTAGGAATTTTTAAATTTTTTAAAAAGTGATAAATCTTGTTTACCAAAAAAAATTAATATCATTTTCAAATTCTTATGTTTTTAAACAAGATATAAATTAAAAATCAATATGTATTTTCAAAAGGGTTTTTGACCCTTTTGCCCCTAATTAAATAATTAATAACCAATTTGCCCCTCCCCCAGAACTATCCACCATCCTGCCCCCATTTAGTCGATTATGTTGCACTTTTAATCGACTAAATGGGCTAAACTCAGAAATTATGAAACGCGAATTTTAGTCGACTAAAAACTCATCTTAATCGACTAAATTGTTTGCACTTTTAGTCGACTAAGCACATTATTTAGTCGACTAAAGATCGCGAAAAACCCTATATCCAGACCTCTCTTGGTCTCATTTTCATTATATTCGAATGTAAAACTCCTCCCTTGGTCTCTTTCTCTTGTTTGTCAGCTGTGAACCTTCCAATCACCCTTCCATTTCATCACACCACCTCTAAGGCATAGTAATTGTGAAATCATTGTCATTTTCCTTTATTTCTCAATTTTTTCCCCCAAATCCGAACCCAAAACCCTAAAATCCGATTCCTACCCCCAAAATTCGTGTGAAAGATGAGCTCAAGTCCAAACATGTATGTTACCATGATTTACTATGACGGAAAGCATTATGAAGGCCCCAACGGTGTTCAATTTGAAGGAAAAACGAAAATGTTGAAAATCAAACGGGGCACTACGTACAATGAGTTGAAGGGGAGGATTAACCAAAAATTGGGGCTACACGGGAGCCATGGCGTTCAACGAATGATCGCCAGGGTAGAGTCTACAGTTGGTAAGGATGCTATATTCTACATTGGTAATGATATATGTGACGATGAAGATGTGGATTGTGTCATAGATGCAATTGTGGACCGAAAATTTCAAAACTTTATTGAGATATATGTTGAAATAGACTGTGGTCAATCTTCATCTGCACCTGTGCATGGAAGAAGTCAGAGTCAAGAAGACAGAGTGGTCGGTTTATCTGCACCTGCACCTGTCTTAAGTCAGATACCACTGAGGGAAATAGACGAGGATGAGGATGGGCATGACGAGGATATGGACAGTGAAGACGATGGTGAACCCGAGAGTGTTATTCCGCTGGGTGACACCTCAGATACGGACGTAGAGGGGAATTTTGACGCTGATACTAGTTCAGGAAACTTGAGTTCCCAGGTTATGCCACCGCTCCGTGTCCACCCCGCAAACCCTAGACCTCAGCTCACCGTGATGGTAGCTGAGATTATGGTAGAAGGCCCGTACATGCAGCTCAGAATATGAACACGACAGTTCAGCCAAGGTCCTAAGATGTGATTCCTCCAACCACCTCACAATGTTAAAACCTTCTTGTTCAAAAAAGGCTGTATCAAGTGATTTGGCCCCACAAATCGGTCGGTTAACAAAGTCACGGACAAAAGATTCATGAACCACCGGGTCATTCTCGAACAAGTATCCGAATGGGAGGTCCACAGCAGCGGGGTCTTCCTCTTGTGGCCTTGACGAAGACGGATGGTCTTGTCGTAGCTTTTGTCGTCTCTCATTTCCAGTGCTAGACGATCTTCTACGGCCAGCCATGGGAACAACTGTACCTACAATGCAAGTGGAAACAAAAATCAATGAACAATAACAATATCAAAAAATTTAAAATTCAATATAAAAAACAAAACCTAATCCTAAAATAAAACAGAAATCAGAAACTCAATCCCTAACCCTAAAACAGAAACCCTAACCCTAACCCTAACCCTAACCCTAACCCTAAAACAAAACACAAACCCATTCCTAACCCTAAACACTACAACCCAACCAAAACAGCAACGTAAACCCTAACCCTAACATAACCTTAACCCTACGCCTAAGGCACCACATCAACCCTAACCCTCACCCTCACA